TATATATGGTAAACATAATCCAGTTTCCCTATCTAGAGTTAATACTAATATTATAAGTCGGCTTACTTTGTTGACTGCCACTTTGACAGCTCAGACGCAGAGTCTGCAGTACCAACCTGTGCCGACTCATCAGCCTGAATGACTTTAATCTGCAAAACAGTACGAATAGACTCCTTTCATTAACCTTTCAATTCTAACAAAAAATAAATTCTACATGCATTCCTTCCTTATATCATCTAAACACAATGATATTAATAACTATCCAGTTTAAATGCTTACTTTATGTCGGTGGCTATCCACAGCACAAATATAAATAATCATTGCTAAGGAAATATCTATAAACACATATTTATTAAACAAAAATAGAAGTCAGCAAAGTATTTTCCCCTAAAACTGACCTCATCTACGTTCGTGCTTTCCTCAGCAATTTTCTTTATTGGAGGTGTCTCCTGTTCAAAACCGGTGCCATCGTCATCAATGTTTTTAGCAAAAGATAGCCTTGTGCTGTGTCTCTTTCCTGATGAGCTTCGACTTCCCTGCATAGAATTAGTTTCAGGCAGTTCAAATGGATCGTGCTTTTCCTCAGAGGAAAACTCTACACTATTGGAGAGATTCACCGGCGTTCCTCTTAATTTTCCCTCCAGCTGTAACTTTGCCTCCTCACTAGCACTGCCACTATCACTTGCTGGCGACTGTTTTTCAACTTCATCTTTGTTATTAGTACTTTCAGTACTGCCGGCGTTCTGTCTTCGGGTTGAGCGCTTGCCCTTTCTCATTGGCGTCACATTGGTTTCACCTGAAGTGTTTTCTTTATTGATTTCAGCTGCGTTTGCTCGAGTTTTTCGACGAATGCTTCGCCGTGTCTCAGGCTGACCGCCTTCAGCTTCTGCTATAGCGGAACGCCGGGATCGTGAAGGGGTTAAAATACTTTTTCTAGGAGTATCTCGAACAACGATCTCTGTCGGTAGCTCCTTTACTGTGAATACAAATAATGACCAATATGTCTTAATGAAAACATACAAAAAAATGCAACAAAAAGGTGTTGAACGAGAAATGTTTTATATTGTATAAAGACAAAAATGATTAAACGGTTTTACGAAGAAGTACGCACTCAACATTTATGCTGCTAGGTTTACTTCAGTTTCCGAAATATATAACGTAAATAAGCGTAAACATAGAATTTTGGTTGTATACTTACGTCCACTATTTACAAGGAGCTCGATGATTTGCTGTTTGCGAAGCTTACCAGGAGTTAAACCGCGTTCCGCGCACAGCCTTTTCAAATCGCTTATCGTAAGTGCCTCCATCTGAAACGTCATAAATCTATTAAGAAAAGCTTCATTACCAGATTCCGGATAGAAGATACTGTTTTGAATGAGTAGTAGTACTTGACAATGCATGAAAGCCCCAGAAATAACGAGTCCCTTACTGTCGCTTTTCTATCAGTACGTGTTAAGGACTTCCTTGACCTGTAACACTTACATCATGTTCTCAACGATTATCATGCTTCCATGGAGACTGCTTAAATGGCTGACTATTTCAGTTAACTATGTTTGGCACGATAATGTACCAAATGTTTGTTGTACAACTACTAGCATGATAAATTGCTTTCAGCCATATGAAGGTAACGGGTTTATTAATAAGAGACACGAATTGAATACTTATGCGTATAAATATTTCGTCCATTGAGTCAATTAATACAGTAAAAAATAATACAAATTATAAAAGTACAAGCACAAATATTCTCTAATAAAGAAAAATTAAAATAAAGCATCGACTAGTGAGACAGAAACTACACTTTTTCGTAACGGTCACTTCCACTACTCATATGCCATTAGCCATTATTTTAATCATGAAAGCTTGAACGACGCTTAACATCAGTGTTCTTTAAACGTTATATGTAATACGCAACTTATATTTGAGTCCCACAACCGTTGAATCTATGTTACTTTCAGTAAGACAAATGTTAGTACATGTTACCAAATTTCGATGGGTCAATACACCTAATCAACACCGCCATTAGTAATTGTCGCATATAAAACCATAGAAAGCCCTGAATATTAATATTCAAGTTCATATTCAGTTTAATTACATTTAGTTCAAATTGTGTTCAATGCTTTACGCTTTGATGAAATAAATTAACTTTCACCATCTGCCAACAATGAATTCGTAAGCAAACTTCCTCTGAGTTGTTGCGTGGAACAGGTACTTATCTACATTGTCTATCGCCTTCGTAACGAACTTCTGCGAGTAGATGAATTCGTCGTTCACTTTGCATCGCTTGCACGCACAAGTCAATCGACTGCTTTTAATACACGAACACACTATAGCTTAAGTGATTTGCGTCTGTGTCTAATATGTTTGTTGAGGAACAGACTGTAACTCTACTGCTTGTACTAAATAGTATAAGACCACAATAATTACCAGTAATAAATACCTCGATATCGCGTTGTATTGGATGGACCACGACGAGCGGGTGGACCTGATAATTTTAAATCAGACACGGATGAATCAGTACGAACAAACATGTAACCTCAACGGTCTATTGCGCGCTTCCCGCCAACAGGTAACCGCAGCACAATTTCGAAATTTAAACGAGATCGAGGCTTTTGAGGAACGGGAGAGAGAGAAACACTGAGAAGGAGCTCGTTTGTTTAAAGGCCGCTAACACCAAACAGCATTCACACAATTAGATTCAAATATACAGGAAATTTCTTCTCATGTAAGGCAATGTTTTTACTAGCAGTAATTAAAGTGGAACAATAGCTAGCAGAAAAATGTGCAAGCAAGCTTAGAGAATCGGATTCTCATCTATGAATGGGCCTGTTACTTCAATTTTCAGTTTGCCGTGTTTCCTTTAACATGTGCTTCACACGACGGATGATGTTGTTTTGGCTGACCGCGGCATGCGAGTACAGCGCCTCCTATGCCGTTGCGGCGGGCTCGAAACTCAAAGCCGGCAGGCGGTTCAGCAGCTCTGCGGATCGAAGCCGTCGTACCACTTGATAGAGACTCTAGAGGTAGGCGGGGAAGGTTTGATTGCTGCTGCTGCGGTTAATAATCACAATAATAATAATAATAATACCATCAGAAAAAAATAATCATATTAAATATACTAGTCACGCTACGCTTTGTATCAAATGTGAAACGCTTGGCTTGTCTCAGTGCGACGGTGATTTCGGTAGTTTAATAGCATTCACCGTTTTCAGACATATGAAAAGTGGCGCGCCGTCTATATGTTGTTAGTCTCGCAAGGTCTGTTGTACTCGTCAAAGGAAAGCAGGCCATTGTAGAGTAGATTGCGCAGTCAATTTGCGTGTACTATGGTACTGTTGATCATGGATTGGATATGTGGGTGCAACCCGTGTTTCAGGCTGTTCGGCGACGGCGTCAGCAGCAGTTGTAGAGGTGGTAAGCTCTTGGCGGCTCAACGAGTCCCCGTGCTGCAGCTGGAGTACCGAAAAGAAAGTAACATTAGTGTGTAGTGGAACGTGTTCGAGTATTAGACCATGGCGCGGGTCAGAACCGCCAAACGCGGTGGCGAAAATGCAACTGAAGCCAAGTCCAAACCCAGTCGAGGTACGTAGACAGCGATATGTAATGTGTGCTTAGAGAACGAGTCCTTGTAGACATTTTTATTGAGTTTTGCAGACACTAAGAAGATGTGGCCGGTTTCCAAAATTACAAATCGAGTAGACATTATCACATTTCTGTGAATAGTTTGAGTGCGGCATTTGCTCAGTGAGAGCGCAAACCCAGATGAAACGTTCTCAGCTAGAAAAAGAAGAAACTCCCCCTCCTTTGCATCTAGCTGAGTGTGTCAATGACAGTTGGGTTTTGATCGAGGCAATAGAAGAGCGGCGGGTGGATTTCAATGAATAAATGAGCGGCCTTCTATAGCATTAAGGCTGATAAAGGCTGACTACGAAAACAAATAGTAGTTTTGGTAAAAATCTGTTCATGTGTGAACACGGCTTCAATGATGAATTTAATTGATTAAATTTATCGCATACATAAGCAAATAATTTTCGGTCTCCGGCTAGTTAATGAAGGTTAAAATTGAAAGCTGAAAAGACATAGTGAAGCAATATCATCAGTAGATATTATGCGATTAGGTATATATACATATATATGACTGCGCTCCGTTCGCTACGGTCATTTGCATTAGTGCAGTTTTTATGTTAGAGGGTATCCGTGTCGTTCAGTAAGTCACTTGCCTAAGTCTATTTATGCCTTATTGAAACATCCATGAGATGCTATTTATTCATTAGCAAAAAGTAACGCGCGTATGACACTGTCATGTGCTTCCGGCATCACGCGTAATCTTTTTTTCTGTGAACTTTTCAACCTTTAGGCCGATCTCGTAGAAGTGGTTCAAATGATGTACTTCAAGAACAAGATGTCAACTCGCCAGTTCGGCTCAGACAGGGTAAGTGTGACTGTCAGTCAAGCCAAAGATACACATAGACAAGCTACTCGGCAAAAAGCTAGAATTTTTTATCCGAGACTATATTCTAAGATATGAGCGTGCATTTTTGAAATTACAGTAGATCTCTCAAAACTAGATATTTTACTGATACGCTGAATAGCGTTCTCACGATATGCTCATCATTGTATGTATCTAATTGGGGTACGTCACATACATGATACATTAGAACTCCGTTATTAAGGGTGACCCTCTTTTTCTGATATTAAGGCTGAAGCGGGCTACGAATATTTACATCGACGAATCTAGAATATTATGATTTTATGATACTATTTAATCATAATTAGCAGTATGCGCTAACAACAAAAATAGTTGATGCTCCAAATAATATTTTCAAAGTCAGTATTAATGTTAATTAATTAAAATGTTAATGTCGCTTAACTAGTTCTTAGAAGGATTACAGAAGGTTTATGCGGAGCACATATAAGTACAAACAAATGCGTTATTTTAAAAGGTTCTAGTTAATAACTAGCACGAAGATTTTATTAGCATAATTGTAATAGGTTGTAGTAATTAAAAATTCTCTATTTTCTTTGTCATCTCGTCGAACACTTGGGCTTTTTTTTAGATCGCGAGTCCAAGTCCATTACACCTGATCGTGTCAAGGGGAAACAAACTATACCGCACGAACGAGCCCAAAAGCGAAAGACTACCACAGTGGCGCCATTTGAGGGGACCAAACGAAGAAAAACTGCCATGATACCAAAGCCGTCCAAGGTTCTTCAAAGCAGCCCGATAAATGGAATCGGTGCTGCTTCCCAATTGAACCCACTAAAGTCATCGGTAGCTAAGGTTGTCGTTAAAACAATAGATCTCAGCAAAGTAAAGAATAAAGCGAGAAAAAGCTCTCGCGATTTATCACTGGAGCGAAAGTCAACGATCAGCCGTAGAAATCAGCCTTCAAGAGGAGCGAAGACGGAATCGCTTTCACTCAATCAGGTTTATCTCGAGACCTCCGCGCTTGCTGCTGCTAGAAAAGAAATCACTGATATTCTCATTAAGAAAATGGATTCCAAGTTAGCAAAGGATATAAAATCAGCTCCGTTCTTGCAAAATGGCGGTGGCGGTGAAAATCGTATCAGCAGAACTGGCAGGAGTAGGCGAAGTTTGACCAATGTTGGCAGTCCAAAAAGCGGGAGCAGTAGCTTACCAGATAGTATCAATGATTCGATTCCAGATAGTGAACGATTCGACTCAAAAAAGAAACCGCTGAACTCTGATATTGCTTCAGTAGTTCTCAAGGCTCCACTTCGCTTGCCCGTAACAGTGACAGCTAGCATACCAGAGCCCTGGGTGACGATGCCGTATCAAGGTGCTTACGTTGATTTTAGTCGGCGTTGCCGAATCGCGAATCCTCGAAAGAGTCTCTGTAAGCTTATGGAGGAGTGCCGTAAGCAGAAAAATACGTTAAAGCTGCCGGAAGATGATGGTGAGTTTTAACATCAGGAACTCGATATTTATGCTTTTATTATACGCTAGGTTGTGGAAACCAGGAGAAGAAAATCAACTAGAAAATTCACTAAGCAATATCTAATCTAGACATGGCGAATGTTAAAAAAAACATTCACAAAATTTAGCAGGTCAGGTTGTGGAACCCAAGAGGAGAAAATCAACTAGAAAATCCGTTAGTCAACATCTAATGTAGAGATGGCGAATGTTAAAAAGAAACATTTAGAAAATTTAGCAGGTCCGACCGTAGCTTCTGTTTTCTTGACCGTGTAATGTTTTATACATTACGTAAATCACTTTTGGGCTCGAAACCTGATTGCGATTAACTTTATCCTTCTCTTTTTAACGTTTTCTATATTTTCAGTTTATATCGTTGATAAAATAGTTGCCCATGAGGCCGTAAAAAATCAAATGAAATTTCTTGTCCGATGGAAAGACTGGACTCCGAAATATGACACGTGGGAACCTGAAGCTCATTTGGTGGTATCTAGCGCAAACTGTCTGCTGCTCGCCGAATATTTTGACAGGAAGAAAGAGTACGTGAAGTACTTAAAGCCGGATAAGTGATATGAATAATCAGGATGATCTAAAGGACGCCAATATGTGATAACAATGATCGTGCTTCAAATAAAATTGCAAGAATGGCAAGAAGACAATCTTGGGACCGTTTTTGTAATGCATCAAAAATAACGAAATATTAATTCCTAATGATCGAATTCCAAGCGCACATAAGCAGCACAGTTATGTGTAATGTTAAGGCCAAGTTAAATATTTTAGTTTCACAATCCTTGCTATTTGTCTTAAGCATAATAATCTGGGGGTATTCCAGCGTAACCTAAGTCCTACAAGTTTATTACATTTTTCGTCACTTATAAGATAAATCGTTATCATTTATCGTAGAATCACTAAGTCTAGTTCATCATGCAATTAGCTCTATAATAAACTTGATTATAAATAACTTCGAATCTTTTTTTTGTGGGAATGATTATATTCTTTATTTTACAGGGTAAAGCTTTCTCATGAGTATCTGGTGAAATATCTAAAGGCCACAGTGCTGCAGGAGGATCCAGCGGATTTACTTTTGCTAGCGACCCTTGCCGGGTGCACCCTTGACCCAGAACACGGGCCACCGATTCCGTTTCGGAAAAAACGCCGCGAGATGCAACAGCGCATTAGGTTAAATCTTGCTTTGGACAAGCAGGCCGTGTTATTACAACAGTTCGGTGGCAAACTTTTCAAGTTTATGGCATTTGCTAAGAAACGTGCGCAAGGGCTGGACGAAAACGAACGATGGGAATCATTGATAGCAAAATTTGAACCCGATGCTCAAATCGCCATTGAAAATGTCGTTGATGCGGAATCTTTGCCAAGTGAATTCAAATATATAACGGTTCGTTAAAATTAGCAGTCTTAGTTCAAACTCGTTGGGAGATATCAAGTTAATTTGTAAGGGTATATTTCATGGTTATAATATCCATTCCCTAATCTGTTAAACGCGATATTGAATATTAAACGAATGTAGTGTGTTTTTCAAAATAAAATTTATTATTTCTAGCAAAAGTGTGGTCCAAGTAGCTCGTGGGCATATTACTTTTTGCAAGTATTACAGGTAATATTATATTATTACATAAATAGATTTGTATAATAAAGCATATTACTATTACATTATTATATAATTTGTATCCGCGATTTCGCTATATCTATACGGGGAAATTTCTTCAATGAAACAGATTCTTAATTAAAACCTATTTCGTTAATTGACGGAGTTTCTTGTACATAAGTAATTTTTCTCGTACAATGGAGGGATCACTAAGCATTGGGCGCATAGCACACCTATATACTCTAAAAATTGCCGAAATTTGAAGAACTGGTATTTGAAACAACTGTGTATCATAATAAATAGGACAAAAATGTGATCGAGTGTTTACTCAGCAACAAGCACTATTTTTTTACTACATTACCTACCGCTTAGTAGCTCAGCTATCTTTATATGTGTAATGCGGATGATAGGCAAAGGCGATTGGCTTTAATTCGTTATTTAATCACTCGTTGCACGTACGTTTATACCCTTTTAACAGGACTACGTTGTGAGTCCGAATGTTCGTTATCAGAAACCTTCGCGGTCGTGTAAGTGCGCGGAAGAAGGCTGTTTTGGCAAAGACTGTTGCGGCGTTCATGCCGGACGATATCGCGGCTATATACGTGGTCAATTAGCCAGAACATGTGGGCAAGTACCGCTATACGAGTGTAACCGCTTCTGCCAGTGTGGTCCGGAATGCGAAAATCGACTTATTCAAAAAGGGGTGCAGGTATGTCAATTGAAAGTAAATGTGCATGTGCTACTACAAATAAGCAAGCTACGGCTGGTTTACTTAGATTTACTTGGCATCTGACAGGCTTATACATGTTAAGTTACCAAGCAATTCTAGTGTTGCTATTATTTGTGCATACTTTTATTTTACCATCTACCCTATACTTAATCTCTTGCACTTAATTAAAAATCGTATTTTTGATGTTTAGTAAAAACGTTTATCTTTTGTTACTTAACTGAGAAATCTATATAAATTAATCTTCGGAAAAGACTTTATTTGTATTTAACGTAATTTCTTCTTTTTCATTTTGATCTGGCAGCTGTCCTTGACAATATTTAAGACAACGTCACGCGGGTGGGGCGTGCGAGCGGAACAGAAAATTGCTCGAGGTACCTTCATTGCCGAGTATCTCGGCGAGCTGATGACCAGCGCTGAAGCAGTTTCTCGTCACTCTGTCAATTTCTCGTACCTGTTTGATTTGCAACCTTATCGCGATCGCCCGGTGGAAAATACAGTTGATGCTGCAGTTTACGGAAATGTTTCTCGCTTTTTCAACCACAGTGTACGTTCGTAATATACTTTTTATGTTACGTGTACCATGTTAGGTGTACCAGTAAGAACATTTTTGTTATTGTAATTGTGTGTCAAAATACTTCAGATTGTTAAAGTAATAGTAGTAGTTAACAAACGTTGCTGTCCTTGCTAGTGCGTTATTTGATTTTGAAAACACATAGTATGCTACTGCAAGATTGTTTGTCAAACACTTTTAACATTATTACGAAACCTGTACAGTCTGGTGCTTCCGTGAGTGTGTGTATGGATATGATTTATAGCTGCTATAAGTATACATCAAAATCGTTAAAAACTACCCATAAAAGTGAATAAAATTCGTATGTATGTATTTCTTTATGTTTCGTACTGTTTGTCACATGCCCCCGTCAGTGCGATCCAAACATAGCAATCAGCTATGCCTACATAGAAAACCATCATCCAGGAGCGCCTCGGCTAGCTTTCTTTGCGCGACGAGATATCGCTCGCCACGAAGAGCTCACTTTCAACTATTGCATGCAGAGTACGTAAAGCCATTTTTGTTTCGTTTCCCAACGAGCTTCTCTATAAGTACTCATTACTTACTTGTCTGTACAGGCAATTGCAGTTTCTACTATCATATAATGGTTCAAAATTTCATTCATTAAGAATGAAACACAGTATTTTTTTGGGAATACATATGACTATGCGAAGTTCCTATAAGATTTGGGGTTGTTATTTCCTTTCTATTCAAAACTCTTAACATATTAAAATTTTTTTTTGTCTTTTTTTTAGCGACTGGAACGGAGGGAACCTTAAAAAAGGTTGAATGCAAGTGCGGCTCAGTGAAGTGTCGCAAATTCCTGTTCTAATTTTCGAGATGTGTTTGATTTGTTGTCGTTAATTTATTTTTATCTTTTTCATTAACATCCGCAAAGAACCTCATAGATCGGTGTCCGCTGTATCGTTACTGATGGCACTGTGAGCTGCATTACGATTTAAATAATTATTGGAGGAAGATGTTGTACATTGTTAGATTTATTCTATTGTTTACGTTCAATCGTCTCGTCACAGCGCAGAATTATAACCTTCGTTTTCGTCATGCCTTTCGACTTACGTAAGTGACTGATTACGTTTCAGTCTCTTTTAGCGACTTAAAAATAACTTGTGAATTAGATTTAGACCATAAAAATCGGATTATCTTAATGAGTTTTATAGTCAAGTTGCCCAAATTCACTCATGCTATAGCTAAATTAAGATCAAGCAGTGGGAATCGCCTCTATTAATAATCGTTTTTATCTCGCTAAAAGAGTGTTGTTGTTATCTAGCGCTCGCCTTTAATTTCACCGTTTTGTTTAAGATCCACTTAAACTAGAAATAACAGCAGATGTTAAGATTATGGGTAGTTTCCATGGTGCTCACAGAATAATGCTGTTTACTTTATACGAAACCGGATATCTTATACTTTGATATATAGGAATCCGCAAAAATAGTTGTGTAACTTCTTTAAAAAAAGCTAAAGCTTTTCGGTGTTACTACTAAAATAATCGCTTATGGCGCCCGCGGTCTCTGTTAGAAAGACCTCGATTCACGCTGAAGTGGCTAGATGAGGAACTACAAAACTTCAATGACTGCCACTTAGGGATTCAATGGAAATCCTGTTTATTAACCAATCGCTATATATGTATTTACAAAGAGGTAGACCCTGCATATTTTACGCAGGTAGTACTATGACATAAGGCAGTAGAGGGAATGTATAAAATTACCACTGTGGTGCCAACTATTTGGAGATTAATTCGAAAATAATCAGTGGCTTCAGCGGTGGTAGGTTGATATCGGTATGACGTGAGAAACTACTGCATCTTTCCGAAATGCGATGTGACCTATTGGTAAATATGTAAGCAATAGGAATCTTTAAGGTCATCATTACTTAACAAAATGACAATATATCTTGTAACTTCCGCTATGGAACGATGGTTAAATTACGTAAATGTGACTATTGAAAGGGGGAATATAACTATTCATACCGATTTTAGAAATAATGTACCGGCCATTTGAGTTGGGATAATTGATCGCTTTACTTTTACGCCATTTAGGCGTGTGAATGTTGACAAATGCGCATGAAAAACGAAAAGATAATTTTGGAACTGGAAAACAAACTAAGCACGCCTGATAAGCGGACAGTGGACCTTGGGGGAGAAAACTGTAGTCTGGATTTACCACTACACACTAAGATACAATAACATGTGATGACCATACTATTTTCTTTATGGTCCGTTTTGAACGAATAATGTTTGAGCAAAGTTTAAGATCTCCATTTAGAAGCATAGATCCGTCGCAGCTATGCGTATGGAGTTACCGGTGAAATTAAGATACAAACACGTTTATTAAGCTATTAAGCTTCTATGAGTAACAGTCTTACGGGCTACTAATATGTATATAAAAATTTTTTTATTGTACTAGCGGAAGAACGCTTGTACCTGCACCCACTTGTTTGGAAGCCTTATCTTTGTCGTTTTGACGGCGAGTCTAACTGGGCCTGTCAGGAATAACATGCTATAGTGGATTATCGCCGATTACTTTCGCGTATTTTTGTTGAAATTTATTCCACTTGTAGAGGCACCTCTAAACATCTAGCTCTCTAAATGAACGTGTGGAAATTAGAAATTCTTTACGCTGTCGATATTGCCACTACAATTACCACCGCTAAGCGCGAACGATTCGCAAATTTGATTCTGCTAAAAAAGGAAACTTTGCTCAATTTCCACTGTAATTTACACTGCCTGGAGGCCCAATTTTATATTACATTAGAAAAAAGAGCTCAATTTATTAGAAACATTTACATCACATTGACAATCAATATTATATATATTGCAAAAAATACTTAGCAACACAGCCTGCACAAAAATACGTAATCACTGCCTTCCTAAATTGCAACCATTGCTCTATAAAAACGTGTGCTTTGCATATCGAAAAAATCAAATGTTTTTAATATATAAGTCTTGAATACGTAGGGCTGTACTCTGGTCATTACCGTCGAATGCCGGAAGAACAAAAATCATTTATGCTCTCCCCATTTTGCGTGAGAAGTCGTAACACGTAAAAGTATTATCAGCGGCGGAGGCCCGATCGCGAGCAACTTTCGCTACAACGGGCTTGAATAGTACTAGTGTATGTGCAACCGATTGTATTGTCTAAATGATCCGTGAGCGTTATTTCATCTGCCTATTGCATAGTACGTATATACTGGTATTACGGCAGATGTGCGTATCGAATGAGATGTAACATCTAATTAATCTACTCAATTGTCCAACCAAAGCGATCTGCTGGTCACACAAAATCTGGACACGCATGCAGTTGAACGAGCGCAAAGTAAAAATAGATCGCGCTGTGGTCAGCAGATAAGGAGTACTCCTGTATCTATTTTTTGTGTCTATTTTTGCATTGAATTCGTATGTTTAGAGAAATAGCATCGCGTTGTAATTAATAAAACAAGTTAATATCGGTGAACAAAGATCGAAGAACATATATATATATAGATATATATATATATATATATAATATATATACTCATATATATATATATATATTATATGTATATATATATATATATGAGTTGTACAGAGCATAAGCATATCATATTACACGAGAAATAAAATATTTTCATTCTGTCTATACTAAGTGGGCATTTTCTAACTATTTTGCTGAACGTGTTTGTCTGAGTTTATGACAGAGTAGAGGTACCTGCCATTTTGTAAGATGGTTTTGTATAGAAAAACACTCAAAACAGACAAAAGAAGCACGTTTAAATATTTGTGATGAACCACAGCTGAGTTATTTCACTATAACACACTGCGTGACTGTCTAGTCAGGCACTCACTTCGCATGCATCATAATCTGTTCAGGTGATCTCCTTTCTCGTGGAAACAGTTCATGAATCTCCTTGAAATCCTTAACGTCGTTTACAGTCATTGCGTCAGCCTTGGCTTTGTTATTGTTGACCATTTTCGTCCTTTGAGATTCTTTTGATTCGATACAAACAACTAGCTGTTTACGATCCGGAGCTGCGTGCTCAATATAGCGCTTGTAAAAATCTATGATGTCCGTCTTGGTGACAGCTCCGACCGCCGCTGCCTCTAACTTAGCTCGATCAAATAGGTAGCTCTTACTGCACACCTCATCCCATAAACTGAAATGGGGGGAGGGGAAGGGGTAATAGGAATATTGCTGCATTACCTTCTATGAACAAACCCGGTTAGTTTTAGAACGCCCGTCGTGCCAACGTTCTAAAACGAGCTGGCGTTATGAACTAATTGAGTAACAAATTTAAGAAAGGAAATCGTACGAAACTAGGCCATTAATACAATGTGCAGTACAAATATATATTAATCCGAAAATTGTTTTAAATTGCAATGTTTTTAAAGTAGGCGTCAAATGCCAGAAGAGAAGGCCGAAAGAAACAAGACGCGTGATACCACAGTGATACGCATTGTCTTCATAATTGTAATGCAAATATTTTTCAAGTCGAATTTGTGACTACGTGATCATATGCAGTGCAATTATGCAGTCACATAATTATACAATTGTAATTTTTTACCTTGTTTATTAATAAGCTTGAAGGCGTATGAGGGATTTTCCTAAACCTACGCTATCACAGCTACGGTATTTATAAGGTGGACTCACAAGCGCGTTTTCTCTTCGAGCGTCTTTGGCTTCGCCAGTTTGAGTGCAATCAAAGTCCTTTTATGATCGTCTAACCGTTCCGATGTAAGTTCGTTAAGAATTTGATTCATCGTGCGGTTAATGAAGGTTTCAATCCGGTCGAACACGTATGATGACGGCAAATTGGATTGAACCAACACAAATAAACCTACCAAGATCCAAGATTCAGAGGTAAGTAAGATCTTCAACCGCAAAGCTAATAGACATTAAAAAATGTCATCCTTTGCTTGGATACTACGGATATTAATTAAATCCCAAAAAAAGAAAAAAACAGTTTCGCTTTTGGCGTTTGACTTATCAAATTGATACATTCTAAAGAAAGTTCGATTAATTAGTTATAATCCTGGACATCTCGAAACTAATTTTTGCCGAGTGGGTTCTCAGCCATTGGTATGAAGGGAATATAACTGCGAATATCATATCGTTTGGTAGCTTATACGGATCCAGCACGTCAATGAACACATGTATTGATTGATTGTCTGTCAGACCTCCAGATTCACGATAGATATCCTTGTTAGACCGATATGGCAACTACTATGTGCAAAGATAAGGTTGTGAATTTAAGCTCGACCTAACGATAAGTCCTCCATTACTTCTTACCTAGCGTACCGTACGACAACTTCGTTTCACATGAAACAATATAACCAAGCTGTTCCTTAGTTCGAAGTATATTGAAGACTGGTTCGTCGATAAGGCGGCACAGTATCTCATTGAGAACTGAGGTCTTCAAGTCTTCGGAGTCGACTGTTCCTATCTGATAAAGTGCCATCACCGCGCCGGCGGGTTGTACCAGGTTGGTATGAGAAAAGTAAGTGGTCTGACCCTCGGTCAGATGGTATTCGCGAAGGTTTAGTAAGCTATCTTCGGGTAGTGGGCCACCTGCAATGCACATTTACCAACAAAACCCACTAAAACGCACACTTCTATTACATATATGGTTGCGCATGACGAGAAAATTAGTGGATTTAGATGAGTAATCATAGCGTGATTGTCATTCTTAAAAAATAATTCAAAATTTCATTCAGCACAATCCAAGTTCAGGTATTCCGAGGTATCAGCAGCAAAAACATTTAAAAGTCGATATATTTAAGATATGAGTGCAAGGTAGATGAATGTGCGAAGATCTTTCTGCGAAGTGATTTTTTGCAGCAAGTAAAATTATTTAAAAGATTTAAAGCAAATCGTAGTTGCCACAATCATTTGAGGTGACAAATTCGCGTGGTTAACATCTGCAACCATAAAGTGAAATTCTTTATAAATTTACATTTGTCATTAGTTACACGCAAACAAGCGCCACCGAATCAAATCTCAGAAACTGTCAAGTGATAAATATCGAAATCATGTGAAAACTCAACTTACACTTCAGTATACGTCGAACGGTCGAGGCTAACTCTTTTGCTTCTGCCGAAGTCATATTTCCATGCACGAGACATTCAATATAGGCATTTTGTAGCAGCTTGGCCAGATGCTCAGTACAAGCTTCCGGGGTGCACATATCCAAAATGGCCAGCGTATCTGTGTGCATGAAGAACTTCTCACAAAGTAACACCTCCGCGTAATATACCGCTTGTCGGTGAGGTTGTTTCGTGTCGAAGTTACCTAAACGACGCGCAAACAAATCTTTAAGTACTTTGAATCTCCCTGAATCCACCTTGAACGTAGTAAGGCGTGTCAATATACTTTTAAGAAGAAAAAGCTGCCTTTCGTTATATCCGCTTACTTTCAACGAGATGCCGTATTGATGGTTTATGATCGAATAGTTGAGACCAGCCACTCTGGCTGAATACAGAGGACCAGAAATTTCATCTCGAAAGCAATTTATTGCTAAATGCGTCAGAGCATCACTAAGGGGGTTTTGGAATGCCACAGGAGTCCGAATTTGACACGAGATTACGCTACGAGGCAAAAGATACTCCTTGTCTTGCATAAACCAAACCCGGTTGCTCTCATCACTCATAACTATCTTGGGTTCCGTGGTGTATTCTTTTTCTTCGTCCACTAACGTAAATTTGGTGGAGACGAAATCATTTGGAGCTGGAAGTTTGAAGACGTCGTTAACATGCACCGTCTTCCATGCCTCGATTGTAGATCTTGCAATTTTTCTTACTGCGTATCGAACACCGTAGTACTTCTCGACTTGACTGGTTTCGTCATGAAACAGCTTTGACACTATCATCACCCTTACTTTTTCGGGCACTAAGTAGCTCAGCAGTTGCTCGATTAAGTCCGGCCGAAATTCCTGATAGATGTATGGACCGGACATGACATCCTTCCAAGGGTATTTGTGTATAGCTTTACTGATCCTTTGACAGTAACGCATTGGATGCGGCTTAGGCATGAATCGAAAGCTCATTTCAGCAAGATTCATAAGCTCCTTGAAAACACATTCCTGTGGTTTACTTTCTTGCAGAAGGCGAATATATTGAAAAAGGTATGTAATTATTTCGTCGGTGTGACGTATGCCTTCGTAAGATAAATTGAACGATACCTTGAAGAAGCATATCCCTCTGGCCCCATCAGTGAGATCTGCTTCGCCAGAGATCACCCAGTTTAGCGACCTCAGATGTGCTATCAGCCCACCTTGGCTCGTGTGTGAGATAAGGTAACTGACATAATAATCTGGCTTCGATTTATATTGGCTCGAAATGTCCGGTGTAGGAAAGGTTACTGTTAGTTTGTGTATATCATCTACCGGGACGACTTTGATCTCCACTTGAACAGAGTCCTCCCTAAACGGGTGCACCGTCCAGACCTGTGGCGTTACCTCTCTATTCTGAATCGGACCAAACATATCTGTGGCGTACGAAGTCAACTCATCGAGACTTTCTTTCGCGTATAGGACGAGCGCCATAATATTCGATGAATACCACTTCGAATGAAAGGCCATCAATTGTTTTCGAAGTTCCGTGGTACCTTTTGAACTAAGCGTATCCATGTTTCCCGTACCAAATTTCACAAAGTCGTGCTTCGGACTCGATGTAACCTGGTTGATGCGGAACAGACGCCGAGAATCCCGCTTAATATTCTTTTGATTTTCGCTGTCAATCGCGTATTTTTCCCGTAGCATGCAATTTTGATCGAAGAGTGGATTGATGAAAAACTGCGCGAAGATATCGAGGCAGTTTCTAAAATACTCAGGTGTAACATCGAAAAAATAAGACGTCTCATCAGTGCAAGTCATAGCGTTCCTCGTCCCACCATGAGTAGACACGAACTCCTCGTAGAAATTTTCTGCTGGATACTTCTTGGTTCCGAGCAGAAGCATGTGCTCGCAAAAATGGGCAATGCCTGGTATTTCAGGCGGATCACTCAGGTACCCTACCTGTAATAATAGAGAAAACGGCTACGCTAAAGTAGATGCAGCAGTAAAATCAATTTTGTTCACTGCTCACGCATCCGTCAAATGTCAAGGACCGAAGTATTTTCTTTTACCCTGTACGCTCTGTTAGTAACACCTTAAGCTAACCGCTAGCAAGTGATGATGTATCGCGATTGCCTCAGATGGCTATAACATAACAAAAGTATTATTGTCAACTGTACAAAACAAGCGATTGCTAATTCGTGCCTCCTTAAACCGTATTTTTTTTGAACAATATATGGTGTCACACATGACAAGTAAGTATCGGTATAGCTGACATTTGTCTGCAGATACTATGTCGGTGTCACGAAATAAATTCAAATGAAACACTCTAAGGAACATCTTATTCCTTAAGCGAGACTCAATATCATTTAACTATGATTAAAAGGTCGTTAGGTTTGAATGAGGTTGGAGGACTCGTACGCGAGCGGTCGCAGTTCGTCTTCAAGGTGACGAATTGTCGTCTACTTAAGCGATAGAAAATACTTTGGCCCCAATCCGACTGACATTATCACTCACCACGACAAAAGCAAGCATGGGCAACGATGCATCACCTGGACGGTGAGGGCAGCCGCTGCTTTGTCTGCCTCCAAATCGGAGATCAGCAGTACTTTCAGTCCATTCCGAAGCTCTATGGCTCGGTAGGCGGATTTGTCTGAGTCGGATCTCCGAGGTTCATCGACGATGCGATACGCCGGCCCATCTTCTCCATCAAGTGGAGGAGCAGGGCATTTCAGTTTCCAAGCCTCAGCCATTGTCATCTATTCACCTCGTTATTTACGAATGCTTGCTGAACTACTAATCGTTGAGCGTCGCGAGATAGACGTTTTGCCTGTGAAGTTGGTCTCAAATCTCCTGTCTCAGTCAAGCGAGTTGTTTAAGTCCTTTATTTCTGCATTCTAAATAACATTCTGAATAGTTGAGACAAGAAGGACGTCAGACCACCTATCGATCATTAAACTTAAAGCAGGAGTCCAGAGTGGGAATCGCCACACCTAGAAGCATCGTACTACATTGACCAACCTCGTTACGCACGAATTTCACTTATGCTTAATTTTGATGATCATTTATCTAACATTTTTCTTGACAGCAATAATCGTCTTTTTGATGAAAGGTGATTGTTTTATGAATCGTCGGCAGCAGTACCCTATTCACTTGGGAGCCTCAGGTGTCTATGGGCTGTGTTAGTGCGTTGAGCACAAGTTTACAGAAGCATCTTGGCGATTCAGTTAGAACATCAGATGACTTAAATATAATTTTTGATCATAGTTGAGTTTTTCTGCCCAATGGCAAGATAGATTCACAGTCCCACACTACTTGAACCACACTTGCTAAAAGAAAAGCAAGCGTCCAGTCTACACTGCGTTTAAACGGTTCTTGCTATAGAAAGCTTTAGTTTACAAACAAATTAAATATACCATCAACACATAACAACATAGTTCGTGTCAATAAAAAAAAGTCATCTTGCAGAAAAAGTGTTTGTATGCTGCGGGGGTGTATCTTCATGTACGGGGAAATACTACTGAGGCAAGTCAATTCACCCCTGTATGATTAGATTTCGGCATTTCGCAAGTCTATCGTCGTCATTGCGAACGATCGTAGAGCTGAAATTTTACTTATATCAACTTATTGTATAAGGCTAGTTCGATGTTTTTCAGTACTAAATTCAAGATGAGTTCAAACACAAAGCGGTTTCGAAAAACGATAACTTGTTAAGAGCGTAGCTGTACGACAGGAGCTTTGCATGAAAAGACCTATTTAAAATGAAAAGAATATACAGAATGGTACCGAACTGTTTCTAGTAACATTAAACATGTATACATATGAAAACATGGACAAACTGCCAAAAACTCGTAGCTCCAGATCTGACCGAGCCCAACATTTATAATCATATGGCGCAAATATATAACAAAATAGATATACTTCTCTTGGCTTAAACTGTGGTTGTGTGTGACAGCGTGTCGTATTGGCATAGGGAGGTAGATGCTTCGAAAATTCGAATGCTTTTAATTTCAAGGTTTAGCTCAACGGATCGCTGTCAGGATTTTGAAGTACATTGCTCTAATCGTACCATCAGCACCTGTTGATATACTTGGGATTTCTTTCAACGCATTCAGCAATCCATTGAAACACTCTTTATTTAATCGCACATGTTATGTAGTCGATAGCTGGACTTGGACCAACGCAGAGACCCCTGACACCTTCACTCAGAACAAATCAAGCAGAACGATGGGTCTTGCGTCTTTTGTCGACCCTTGGCTTAAAGTGCTTCGTAGGTTCCGGGTCTGGAGCTTTCGGATATAATTACAAAAGCCGCGAGCTGTGCGCGTTTGCTTTCGTAGCAACACAGCCCCCATGTGATGGCCGTCAGAAGTTCAAATGTAAACTACTATCGGTTACCGGTATGCGTTTTAAATGACCCGCCACAGCGTCGCTGTCGTTAAGCGCCGGCGCACTAATTTGTAAACATCAATTCATTCATTTTATGCCGTGATCAATGAACGAACTTTACATGCTGCTGTTTATTGCTGGTGCATTCGGTGGTCGGTTACGATATTCTGCACGAGCTCAAAAAAGGGGGCCCGTTGGGGCAAATCCCTGTCTGACATAAACGTGAAATAGCTTCGTTAAGTGCATTCAGACTCGTTGGATTGTCATCTCGGTTTCAAGTCATGCCAGACTCAGCACCAGGAGGTAAGTCCCATATCATTTATTGCATTGGTTGTCTACACTTGAACTGTCTGGAACACCTGGAATTCTATTGGCGGTATGAACATGTCTCGGCAGAGCGGCCAAGCAAGCTACGCTTGAACGGAGTCGCTTATTTGGCACTGTCCTTTACTTAAAATATTGCAATGTTAGTTGATGAAATTTATGAGGGCTTACGGAAGACACAAGATATGATGACGACGGAGCCCTCTTCACGCGCTCAGAGAAGTGCGTCATTTCTGTCACGATAGTGCGGTAGCGTGTGTAGTATCAGTAAAGCTCGAATAGTGCAGAAGTTTCATTAGTTTAACGTAAGGTATGTACGTTGCTATAGACCGAAGAATAATAATTGCTAGTGACAGAATTTGAATATTTTTAAAAGAGATCCGCAGGTGTCTGGACCAACATCAGGAATTGGAGGTCTGAATAAAAGAGGACCTTTGTGGGGGCATGGAGAAAGTGTGATCATTAAAACCAAAATCTAGCATATGTTTCAAGTATGTTTCCTTGAATGCTCTGTACGAAGTAGAATTTCACTACGATATAGTATCCGCGTTCCCGGCGTTCTCGGAAGAGGATTGCAATTCATGAAAGTTCGTGCGACTCCGGGAAAAGTGGAAGGGGTGGGGAGAAGAGGAAAGGGCTTATCAAATACCATTAAAGTCTTGAACACAGGTTAGGTCCATAAAAACAAGACACCTCTAGTTTGACAGGTAACTCTCATAATTGTGCAGTCTCTGCAGATATATACATATTAAATTTATTATCTAAAAATAAATTGTAGGCATTTGCTATCCTTCGAATGACCTTTCGTGTTACAGCTGATAAATTATTTATAACAGTGTGTAATGCATCGAACTTTCTTTGTCTCAAATGATAATTGCTTATACATTTACCTACCTGAAAAAATCCTTACGATATTTGGATTACACGGAACACCTACTTTAAATAAATAATAGCCTTCTTTAACATTATATGTTTCAGTTCTAGTTGAGAATTGTACAGAATTCTAAAGCTCTCTGTGGACTACGAAAGTATTACTCTCAATTTATGCCTAAAACTCGGATTCGAAAAATGGGCGTTCTAAATGAAAAAATAAGCAAGTCTAGCATACTGGTGCTATGTGGGCGGCAAAAAAATAGCAGAAACAATTTAGGTAATTTACTCCACGTAACTATGAGGAGTCTTTACTTATGTAAAATTATTTGAACATCCAAGGCTCACCTAGGGCGAATGTGCCATTTTTGAGCATAACAAAACACCTTTGAGTACTATTCTTAATTGTAGAGTCTTTGTTGTACACGTCACATTTATCCGTGATTGTTTGGCCGGTTTATTCATCTGGGTGAAAGACGAACCAAAAGTGTCGCAATACTGGCAGCATCCACTCACATGACATGCCTATCTCGGATATCCAAACATAAGGTGATCTTTTGCGGATCTAAACAAAATAACGACGATTCCAGAAAAGTGCTTTCCAGTAATATATAATACTTAACTACTAGCGAAGAAAACTATACGAGAAAATACTAACAAATAATAACATCAATTTCATTGTCACACCAAAGTCATTCCTTTCTCATGTAAATTAATGTTTCATTGATTAGTATTAAATATGTAAATACTGAGCTAACAAACCAGGTCACATAAAATGTTTAATAATTAAAAGATACCTGCATGCCCTTTTCATTTATTTGTCCAGAGATTTACTAAAAACGTAGATTCTTTGTGCGTAATGGAAGTAAGTTCGACCCAGAAAAATCACCCACAGTTTTAGTGTACATCGTGTAGCATTGTTCTACTTCCAAAGTATGAGACAAACTACATTGTATAAATATATTAAGTATCAAAAATGCAGTAAAGTATATTTATACCACGTGAATATGTATTTACGTTGGAACATAGTTGATAGCTTCTAAATAACGTGCGGTACTCTTCTTCTTTTAGGCGGCCCAGATCAAGCCACGGGAGCCGCGACTGGAGGATCAATTAATGAGCTGAACCAAATCCTTGATGAATGGGGTCAATCTCGTGGAGCAGGCCAGGATCCTATTCCTGTGCTGTCTCGCCTTTGCGAAGTTGTCGAACGAGAAAATGAATTATACCTCAAAATGGACATCGACCCCTTCGATGATCGACATCCATCAAGGACAAATCCTAACTCAGCTTTGGGTTCTTTGCTCAGAACTCTTTTTCGCAACGATGAGTTTATGGACACTCTCGTTAACACCTACATTTCAGCTAGAGATAACAAAAAACTTAACGAGGTAAACCTACATCGTGGTACAGTAACTGTATTTACAATTTACTATGATACTATATAATTAATAGTCTCAATTTATTCGTAAAGTGCATTATTATTGTCATTTTAGAAAATTTTGAACTCAATTATTAACATTTTTTGTAAGTACAGAGATTTAGAAGGTTCGCAGATATTCGCTCGAAAACATTTACAATATAAGCAAATATCTACTTCATTCTCGAAAGTTGTGTTGGTTGATTGTGCAACTCGGTTTTGTTTTTCATACAGTTGGCGTGTCGTCTGCTCTATGACATCCTGCCAGGCCTTGAGGGTAGCATCGTGTTTCAGGAAACGGAGGGTATTGTCTCAAAGCTATACCACTGGGCTGAACATGCCGATAATCCTTTAAAGTCATATGCCATCGGGCTCTTAGGGGCAGCAATGGAGGTAGCAGATATTGCAGCGAATTGGCGAGATCATAACGCTAAGTTGGTGCGTAGACATATTCTATTAACTACTTACAATGCACAACAAAACATAGTTAGCTGAGGTCAGCTCTTATTACAATATATAAGACATTTTATTATAAATAGTGTTTGGTTTGTTTAGAATGCTATTTATGCCAATTTGACCTATTTATGAGGTCCAACCAAATCTAGATGGTATCACCGTATACTTCTTTAGAGTTCTGCTGCGCAATTGTAAGTGTATTTAACCTTTATATTCATTTTGCGTTTCAATTGTTATTCGTCAGATTCCACTGCTGTTGAACGAACTTCGCGAATTGTCCTGTCTTCCGTCAGAAGTTCCACCGGAACGAAAACTCCTTTTCCTGGAAAGACCGTTCGCGCAGCTGTGCAATGGTCGTGAGAAAGCTGGAGGCGACGGCAAGGGTGGTCAAAAAGAAAACCTTGCATTCGATAAACAACCAACAACGGCAAGCTCAAGCAACTACACACCGAGTAATCGAAAACGAAAGGTTTCAACTTACTAATTTTATTCCAAAATAATCTATTTTCTTTATTTCTATTTATGCTTTAAAATGAGTCAGGATATATTTATTCCTTTCGGGTCGCATATGCCAAAAAGTATATTATGTTTTAGTAGGTTTTTGGTTGCAGTGTGCATTGTAGCTTAGTTGCACTGTAAGCTATTACAAACGAATCCGGCGGACTTCGTAACTGAAAAGATTTTCAACGCACTGCTACTTAACAAAACTTGGGCGGTAATACCTTAGCTTTATAAAAAATTGCGAGGGAAAACTAGTTGAGTTTACAGTAAAAAAAGTGAACTCAGAAGGAAAAACATTCTTCAGTGTTGAAAATCAATGCGCAGTGGTCAGCTGTTTGATCTTCGAAAGCCATGGCGGTGCCGAAATTCATCGATGATTGATGAAGACATTAGCAAGGGGGTTTTAAACGCAAGCGCAGTGCATGAATGATACGAACGTTTCAAAAATGAAAGTTAAAGTATTGAGGACCAAGGAGGAGGTAATCCGATGTCGGAATTTGAAAAACAAAAATGCAGTGTCGCAATCGAGGAGGCTTTTATCGAAAGCAAAGATTTGAGTCTAAGGACTCTGCTTTTCACATATAACGTATTACAGGTTTTATGCCCTTATACTGAAAATGTGGAAACTGAGTAAAATACGGGTTTCCCGTGAATTGCCTCCAGGCAAGTTGAAAATGTGTGGTGTATTTCACGAACAATTTGCGACTTTCATTAATAAAAAAATCGCTTGGAGCATATTATTGTTCTAGACAAAGAATGATTCAACCTCGTTCGCCAGAAGATAAAGAAGGACTAGATAAGAAAATGACATCAACTAGAACAAAAATCGAGTTCGACAGCACTGTAATATAAAACCGGACATAAGATAATGGTAGTACGTGCACTGGACGCAAGGGCGTTTGTTATTATGAGATACTTACCAAAAGTGGAATAATGAATGCAGCTCGCTAAGCTCTTGAGTTCTCTAAAAAACTCCTAAACGTTTGGCACGTACTCTGATTGTTTGATTACAGTGGCAGACCTTATCTCTATGCCTAAATTACTCCTTAGATTGAGCAAGGGAACATCCAACGTTAGCTTCAACTAGCTGATGCTCCTGATCCATGTCCATATGATTACGGGGCTCTTTTTGCCTCAAAAGAGATTGTTTTGTATCTGGCGGGCAAACATATCCCATTATCAGTTTATTTCGAAAAGCCGTAGACAGGAAAATTAGATATAACAAGGCGACTTGTACGTTTATAGCTGTCCAGAATCTATGGAAGCACTGGAACAAATATGTGAAAAATGAAGCTGTATACTTTTAACACATTATAAAAAGTTATCGTTCTAGCTAAATTAGTTCAAGAGTTATTCAACTTTGAAGTCTGCCGGATTCGCTTTTCACAACCTAATAATAATGATATTTGCATAAAATATCATTAGTATCGTTGAAAATTTCACAAAGGAAATTTAAGTCATATCTAATAATAATAAAATTGTTTCAACTTTATTTATCGACTTTAAAGCGGCAAACAAGTCCAGCCGATAAAAAAGGGGCTCTTCGATCATCGCAACCTACGTCAACGCCGACTTCATTGACAGTTCGTAGCGGCCTACTCGCGGACTGCTCAAACTCAAGTTGGGCTGAAATGGAACTGCTGACGATCGGGCACTATCAGATTTATCCACTATCTGTAGAAATGCGACAGCGCTTTATTCTGCAATATTTGACAAAATTAGGCGAATACCAGGAGTTCCTATCGTTTATCTTTGAAAAAAACGTTCTTCAACTCATCTTGCGTTACATAAATCTTAAGGAAAACCACGACGTACGATTGGCGTTTGAAGCGCTCTGTTATTTGGCCTCACTGATGTGTCATAAAAAATTTTCCATGGAGTTTCTAAAGGCAGGTGGAGTACAGCGACTCCTCGAAGTTTACCGTCCATCAGTGGCCGCCACCGGTGTATCAATTTGCCTGTACTACCTTGGCTACAGCGAAGATGCTATGGAGAAACTTTGTCAACAGCCGCCTGACGTTTTAACGGAACTTATACGCTATGCATTGTGGCTTCTTGAGCGGAGCCATGATAGTAGCAAATGCCATGCCATCATGTTTCTAGGTTTGTTCTTGTCTATACGAAGTTAATCTTTTTTACATCGCGGAAAATTGCACAAAGTACACACACAAATAAACGCTTGTATATCTTATTTTCTAGTTAACGGTAGCATTTAATTAAAAATTACATATGTGCAATCCGTTCGGTTTACGCTTCCTGTTGTCATCAATAATACCTTTCGAGCTAAAATAGTCGAATATTCCAATTAACTTAATTTCACGTTTGTATTTGCATCGTCCGTTTAGGTATGGCGTTTACGTACCCAAAATTCCTGGAGTATTTTGACGCGGAAGATGGCTTAAGACGTCTTGTTAATGTGGTATCAACTCTTGATGCAATTACTAACCCCTCAATTAACGACGAAAGACACGATTGTGAGAATGAAGACAAGCATTTCGCGTCGATGCAGACTGCTAGGCACGTTTGCCACTCACTCAAAAAATACTTTGAGGCACAACTTGTAATTACAGCTGAAAAGTTAAGGAGAGGTGCCGATGGAGCGCATAGAGACCATCTACTAGGATCGAAGGCTTTAAGGCTGAAGCCCGAAGAACTTGAGGAAACAATGGATTTTGTCTTAAACAACTTACCAGCAAAGAGCAAGTGGCATGCCGTTGACGAATTTATAAGTTTGGGTGGTGTCCAATTGATGCTAAAGTTGATTATGATCACACAAGAGGATGCGGGTCATGCCGGAGGCAAGACCGAAACAGTTCGGAGTGCCCTTGAAGTTGTCGGTATATGTACGTTAACGCCGCGTTCACAAATGGTGCTTACAGAGGTAATCGAAAACCCAAATCCGGAACTTGATATGGAAGATCAACAGGAGCCTAACGGTATGGGGTTAATTCTTGATATCCTCGATTGTGATTCGCATGGTTTTCATAGTGAGTCAGCTGACTTGCAAAAAGCGGCTCTCCAAATCATACACAATTGTGTTGGTGGGCCAGTTCGACGACCTAGTGGAGCAACGCAGGGGACTCCCATTCAAAATCATAGCTTGGTAAACATGAACGGCGATGTTCCTGGGTCGGGACCCAGCAGTCAGGCCCAAACAAATAGCGCTCAAGGACCTACAAATTCAGCTTCAGGGTCAAAATCTCGTGGCTCAAAAAGTGGCGAAGGAACCGTGCTCCACAGAATGTGGCGATGCTTGCGAAGTCATAATGGCATTATGGTACTTCTTGGCAGACTTGCTGTAAAAGTTCCAATCACTGGAGCGGATGCTATTAGAATGATGGCTTGCAAAGCTCTTTGTGGTTAGTGTATAAATTTTGCCATATTTTTCGAATAATTTTGTTTACCGACGAGATTTTTAGATACTTACACGAGGGGTTGTTGAATGTGATAATTTTCAATATTTGCTGTACATAGTTTCACTACTTTGTATTAAACGTGTTTTCATTTAACGATTTTTTTAAGACGTACCACAATAATTCTGTGTATCTGGTTGTTTTACATAGGGTTAGCACGATGTCCGACAGTACAACAGATTATGTCGAAGCTTCCCTTGTTTACACGTGGTCATCTCGAAACGCTAACGAAGGAGCCGGTGTTGCATGACCACAGTGCCCTTCATGCTAAGTTCTGCACATACGCATCCCGTCTTGCGGAACTCGTCACTGGAACAGCCCTATCAAGGTATGTAGCCAAACTGAATAAATCTACTGCGAACTAAATCAAAACTTTGTTTTTTTTTTGCATCTAAATAAAATATAACTTGTCCACATTTGTATGAGAAAATAATTGTTTACTATGTTTCTTATATTTTCATATTGTTTGTATGTGCTCCTTTGTAGGGGTGGCAACAGTGACTTGCCAGTCGCACGGCGAGGCGATGCGTGCTTGGTCGCACCTGTTGCTGATATCAAGTACAAGACGAGTGATCTGCTTATTTTAATGTATGAACATATGCTCGGAGCGGGATTAACAGAAAGTGCGAATGCGCTTTTGAAAGAAGCACGCCTGCAGGAAGCACTCAATACGAGAAGACAGCAAATGACGGGCCGGGATGTCGGGGTCGTTGCGCATAGAAGAGGCGTGAACCGGGAGATTAGCCGAGCTGGGCAAGCCTTAAGTCCACAGCCTCCGCTCACGGTAAAAACTAAACTTCAAATTATTATATTTCCTTTTAGAGAAGTTTAAGGTACATTAATCCTAGCGTACAATACATTTCAACGAAACGTACTCGAATATGAAACGTTGTATTGATTATAAAGTTCCGCAACGAAACCATATGCCCAACAATTGAAGGAAGCATTACAGTAATTTACTAGCGTAAGAGATGAAATACCGATTGCCAAAATACCGCGGGTAATAAGCGCAAATTGTTTATTAACTCTACGTCTTCTTTCTATTCTGCTTTTTAAAGAACGTACCAGTAACACCACAATCAAAGACTATTCCCTTGAATCGATCCAGAGCTGATTCGGCCGGTCTGACACCTATCACACCAATAGGCCGACGCTCCCTGAAGTCTCTAACACTTGTGGAGAAATCGGAACAACGTGACGTTTTGTCACCAGTTATACGCAAAAACGTGGCGAGCATAGCTGAAAATGCGCTCTCATTGGATAGCATTGTTCGGGAATACCTCGGCGTGCAGCATGCCAACTGCAGGATGCCCGTGGCCACTTGTCCACCGTTCCAGCTGCTTGCTAAACACCGGTGCGAGGAGCCCATACTGAAGATGCGGGCGCCATTTAACGTAACTCAGCGTCTGTCACGAAGACAAACCGATTGGCCCTGGGGCGGACGCTATGGAGCTAGAATGACCCGAAAGTTTATCTATTCTAAATTCAAGCCTGTACGAACGTTCCGCGAGCCAGAAATGCCTGCGAATTTCACGTGCTGCTCGTTTTCTGCTTGTAATGAAATGTTGTTTGTAGGAACAGGCAATGGCGAACTGAAGGTATTCAATGTACATACAGGCACAGACGAAGCTACTTACAATTGCCATGACACGGACCTCACACACTGTCAATCATCGAAGGTAAGACAGTAATTAATTTATTCTGGGTAGCACCAAACATACGAGTAGGTCCTTAGATATCCACATTATATTCTTTCTTTAGTACGAAGGCGTTGAATTGCTACCAGCTTTACGATTTTCTATTACAATCAAATCGTCGGGATTGCTGTTTTCATTTTCCCCATGTGCGTCTCTTAATGTTTGTATCTTTATTCAATTTAGATAATTCATATTACACTACCCACGGTGATATTTGACATTTATCCAATAAATTTGTGCATTTCAGGATGGAACGTTGATTTTAACATCTTCATTCTTTCGTGAGCCGTTGAGTGTTCTCTGGACATTTACGGATTTGTTTCAGCAAAAGGTCAGCTTCAAAGATGACTCATATGTCGAATTTGGCAAGCTGAGCGACGAGCGCATCCTTGGCACACAATACGGAATAGCGCGGTTATATGACACGAGCACGGGGCGCAAGATCTCCCAATTTGTCGATCAGAAACTGGCAAATCAGTACATCAAGAATCGTGCTACTCTCAACCCAACCGATGAGTTGGTCCTCAACGATGGCGTATTATGGGACGTTCGGCGGTCGCAGCCAGTTCATAAATTCGACAAATTCAATCCGTATCTCAATGGCGTGTTCGCTCCTAACGGACTTGAAGTACGTGCTTATATGAACTAATATCTCGTTCATAACAACAAAAATACTTTCTCAAATGAGGCATTAGCAGGATAAAGCAATGTAATAAAATAACGTTGATTTGAAAGCTTACATGTAGGGTTATACACTAGTTGTGTTACGGCTGTATATGGTATTAGGGGATAATATTCTGTATGTGATGTGACGTACGCTATAGGTCATCGCCAACACAGAAGTATGGGACTTACGCACGTTCAAGCTCCTCCATACATTATCGGCACTCAACCAGTGTCAGGTGTTGTTTAATGCGCGGGGTGATGTAATCTACGGCGCTATGGTCGTGTGCGAGGATATGGACCAGGAGCGTGATCAGCAATTGCAGAACATGTTCGGCAACTCGTTCAAGACCATAGATGCTACTGACTACTCTAACATTGGTTGGTTTGGGTAATTTTGGATGACTGTCAATATTTTGAGAAATGAAGTGGTATATAATGAGCGATAGCAAATCTTCAAGATGCACAAAACGCCGTTTATAGCAGACACTCATATGTGGCCAATAATGATAACGACAGCAAATTCTCTTGCATGTTCACAGCGACGATCGATATTAAACGACGAATCTGCGATATTAAAACCGATGGACGTGATATGTATCTGGCAATTGTGGAAAACGCCGGCGAACGAACTCAAATGGGCACTGATTCTGTTGTGAGGTTGTACGAAGTCGGTAGGCAGAAACTCGAAGATGACGTTGATGACAATGTAAGTGTCTAACGTAATCGGCAAACTTGATTTATTTGTTCGTGGTAAAATTCTAAAATTTATTAAGGCATAGTATTTGAATTGAGAATGTGATTACGTTGATGCAATAGAGTGAGATTATGCCTGCCTTATTTTTTTTTGCAGTGGTATTTTTGGGATTATGCACTTTTAAATTTTAATGCATAGATACCAATCATTTTCTTTTTTTGCTTAGGAACAGGATGATGACGACGTCGACGATGATGATGACGAAGCTTCATCGAGTTCGGCTTCGGACGATCTCTTCAATGGTTAGTTAATGGTTCCACAATAATGGAAACTGGTTTCGTTTTTCTCAGTTCCACTCTGCTACCGTGTATATCTTACTATATTTTAAACGCTTACACATAGCATCATACATCATCGACGATTGATAGACTCAGTTCCCAAATCTGAATTCACGATTTTAATATGACTTAACCGATGAAACCCTACTACAGTACTATAAAAAATCTTGTTGGACGTATCTGACATGATGCTGTTTTACATTGCTTGCCATTGCAGATACCGTTGATATCGATGATCCCGCTGGCTTCTCACCGATGGAAGACGATGAAGATGATGAAGAAGGATCGTTTGCGGATACTGAAGGGAGTTCGGCGGGCGGCGAGGATGATAGTGAAGACGAAGGCTGGGTCGTGACAACAAATTGAAAGAAGAAAACGCCGAAAAACATAAGATCACACCACGTGGTACCCGCATCTCGCTTAAGTGACTTTCTTCGTAATATCTAATGACATCAGAAGATTCGTTACTTGTTTTACGTGATGCTTTCCACCAATTTAAAAATTGTTAAGTTGGTGGTTCCGTTCTAGAAGTTGTAAGAAAATGGAAAAAAAAAGTGGAACGCTATTAGGGACAGAACTAACAGCAGCATACTCTTGTACACACTACAATAAGAGGAACATTAGTTGGTGGTCAAACTGTGTGAAGCAGCACGCATTTTTGATTATTTCGCAATTGGCTTGGTACCTTTGTATTAATATGATATCTACCTCTGTGGACGCAAAGTCAGTGGATCTGGTTATTCGAACTGGCACTGTTCCCCTACCGTGGCTGGTTCAAGTGTAGCCAAAGCCTTTGTTTAGCGGAGCACAATAGATTGTTTTTTTTTTCTTGTTATCCGTATTGTTAAGTGTAGAGGAGAACATGTGTGATGGATATAATACTGTGTGGAAGAACCTGGGAAAGAACCTGACCAACTCTAGTTATTCAACTGCTGTCCCTGTGTGAGCTAATTTTCTTTCCCAAGAGCCAGAAACTATTCTAAATGACAACCTACTGGTGACATAATATAAACAGACATTTTATATATATACAATGAGGTCAGTGAGGTTCAATATACATAAATAGACATTGACAGATATATCTATAGAAATGAACACATAAATGTAAGGTTTGTCGTAAATTTAGTCTCGCGAAGATTGGTTCCTTCTCCTAGCGCAGAAGGTACACGTGACGCAGATCTGGAACAAGCCAAGACGTTAGATACCTATCTAAGGGGCCATTAACCTGTGAAAGTCTAAGCCCATATCGTATAAGCTAGTTAGCTCAGGTTGGCTTAGTTTAAAATATGTCAAAGTGAGTGGGAGCAAATGAAGATTTCTTAACGAGAAAAATCATTTGGACAGATCACAAGATGCTGGGGTATAAAAAGTGTTGTGTATTGTATTTTAGAGGAGGAGACACAGGGTTGGATCTATGCGGTTGGAACATATACAAGTTTAACCGAGTTTGCGAAACAATAATTGGATGATATTCGTGTATCGGGTGTTGAGAGTAAACCACCTTGGCAGAATTCCTCTAAGGTGAGCTGGTTATTCTGACGGATAAGATAACGAAATGAGGTTTGCTATGGAGGAAAGCACTGTGCACTTGTATGGAAGCCTTATCGTCCAAAGAATAATTGAAGTTAAAAAAAACTGGCAAATATGTGAAGCACAAACTTCTTTGGGAGCTACTTTGTTTTGACTTTCAATTATTGTATGTGAGGTGTAGGAAGGTCAAACCGCTTATGAGTGTTTTGTCCGGATAACAACAACGATGACAGCCAGAATGAATCGTGTATCATTGTATAAAATATTTTAATAAAAACAGAAAAGCATTTAAAACATAATGAAGCCTATAATGAAGTGCGTCACGTATTTCGTGCATGAATGTGTATATACAGGAGTTTACCTATGTACTAACGTAAGGAAAAGATACATGTTATGGGGTGCACACGGTGTACATTAAGATTTTTTGTGCAAAACAGCAATAGTAGTGAAAGGAAGAAAAAGAGCGGCAAAGTACTGTACATGAAGGGTATATTGGGTCACGAAAAACATTGTTTTTACAAGTACCCTGAAGGAAGAATGAAATTGACTACAATGACCGATTGAATGAACGAGTATTTACGCTGATCGTGTATACGTATCTCTCATTCTTGTCCATATTAGAATAGACTACACATACGACGTCTGCATTGTAGTAATCAATAAAATATAATCACTGTGTGTTTGCTGATACGCAGCATGTCAAACAGTGATATGCGGTCTGTGAAATACTGGGGTAAGAATCTGTTTAGATATAAATTAAATGGGGCAATTAACAAGTGAATGTATTCCCAACAAATGAACTCTGTGGCACTTTGGAAGCAAGTTTATACATCAGTAATAATTTCATAGCTTCGAGACCATATAAAGTCCGATCTGTTATGAAAGCACGATTAAAAAGAACTTACTAGATAAGGTGATATAGTATACTTTCAGGATAATAGATGGGAACCATACTAGAATTAATCTAACACTTAAGTCAATAGTGTTCAAGATGCTTACAGGTTTAACCTAACGTAGTTGAAGTTATAACGGCGCAGAGAGTGATAGTTGTGGATATGTTCAGCGGAACTTGCTCGCTGTTTTAGTGCAAAAGAGTTGTTAGTGGATTTTAAAAAAATAGGCTTTAGATTATCTTGTTTTTATACACGTAATTTAGTCTGGTTTATTTTCGTTTTCACCTTAATATGTATGTACCAAAAAAACTTCTTTTAACTATATATATATATATATATATATATATAGAGGTATGATTGATGGTCATAAATTTCAATCTTTCGTTCGATACTTCCTCATCTAAGTAGAATGTGCAATTTGGGTTTGCACTCAGTAAGAGAAAATAACTAAAATATAGGGGAACACATCGCGAAAGCCATTCAGGCAAAACTGCAAACCATTTCTGTTATTCCTTGTTCTTTACATTTTGTAGATTGCGAACTCTATACCCGAACTAGTGCGATATTCTCCCTTATACATTGACAGATGTTCGCAAATATAATAATTTTCATCGTACTATAACGCTCATGTCGACCATGCAAGGCAATGAATTGCTTTTTAAGGAATGGAGTCAACAATGTTCAGTTTGTCACATTCTTGTGATTTTTACGGGGAGCATGAAACTATTAAGGACAAAGAGAAAATACTACCTCTTTAATTTCGCCTGCCTGAAGAGAAATAAAGCGACACCGGCTTACCATGCAATACCATCATTGCTCAACACATATGTTATATAGGAAGCGCTAATTCTGTACGCCTTAATTTTAAGATAAGGTAAAGGTCCCTGCGTGTAGGTTATGTCATCATTTCGGTAATATTGAACGTACTTAATTTTAGATCTAGTGTGTTAACTATCAGGCTAATCAGCTAATCAGGTTATCGTTAGGCAACAACTATTGTAAATATTCAATCTTTTCAAATCAGGCTCGCCTCTATGTTCCAAGTAACTAAGTCTGCCAGTGTTGCTTCTTTAATAACTGTTCTATTATACATAACCCTCTAATTTACATGTTCGTGTGAGAACATCCTTAACTTAACCTCTTTAGCGACCTAAATTAGCAAAGACCTCAGGGGTTTGTGACTTTGCCCATCACTATTGCTAACCCACTGATGGAGTCCATGACGAAGTATAAGAAAGGCCTATTGAGCACAATACTCAAACCTTCGCTAATGTGGCCTGGAATTTTAGTAATCTTCTTTGTCGATTTTGTTCCGTGCTGCTCTTTGGTATTAGCTTCCTTTTGGTGATGTTGACTTTCCTTTTCCAGTACCTCATCAAGTTCATCCTTCGGCGGCGGACCCTGTATGTTCAACACACTCTTGTGAAACACGCTGGTAATATGTAACCAGCGAACTTCTGATATATCGTAGAGCTCGGCTCGGCCCGGTACGAATAAGTTATGCAGGCCCATAGCAGATAATGACTGTGTGAGGTTTGAATGACTGTGTTCGATCTGAATACGTGGCATCTGTCGAGCAAAATTACGGACATTGTTAGACAATGAGAAGCAACATTATACAAAACAACATAATAGGCAGTTAATGTCAAGGAATATGGTAACAAAAGACTTATTTAATTAGGAAGGTTTGAGAAAACTTGTTAGTTATGACAAAACATGGAAATCGACTGATGATCACCGATTATTAAAAGGGTCTTTCGATACTGCTTTATACATACCTTAAGATTGGCGCGGCTTATTTGCATAGTAGCCATTATGTCGGCAATTCGTTGAGCGGACAGTCGATCTTCAAGAAGTCCCATATCATCTATGTGGTCTGGTGTAATCATGAGCAGAGTAATTACGCCACCCCTAAGTGGGACCTCAACTGCACTACAATTCAAGTAATCGTGCCGTGTATACCGGACCTTAACTCCGCGCGCCTCCAACATCATGGGATGGCCCACATCATCTGAGTCCATTTTACAGGAGCAAAGATGGCATGTATCGGTTCGTGTTAACGGCATGGTAGACATTTTTCAGTTAGTTCACAAGTGTTTAAAATAAAATTAAACAGAGAAAAGACAAGTTTCAAAATACATTGGTTTCTCAGACGCTGCAATTGAGCGCTCTAATAAGCATCATTCGTCTTATCACCTATGTTATGTGGTTATAAACTGATTTGTAATGGCCGTGAACGGATATGAGATTATTATTAAACGATTGCTACAGTACTAACAGCTCAATCACTGATGCCGTTGTGAAGGTTTAAAGCGTGCACGAAGAACGATTCTACACGCATGTTGAATGAGAAGCAAATGGAGAATGATCAAACTGTCAAGGGTACTCCGGTATACAAATAGCAATTGTACAGAATCGACGTACCGTCCTTAGAAAGGTTTTGTCGGCTCTTCGTTAGCCATGGAACACCTTCAATGGGGACAAGGTTGTCAATATCCACGACGCTTTCAAGGAATAGTCCGGAGATGAGTAGTAAATTTGTCGACGGTTGCGGAACGTCCCGTAAAAGACCGTGCAGCCGACCTCGCGTACGTTTTTCAACAATAGCATTAATATGTTGTCTTGCCTCCTCACCGTTCATTACGAAGTCAAGCGAATGGATTGAGCTGTTGTAATAGTTGTAGATGTACATCTGATACGGATATTTAATTGCTATATTCGAACAGTACAGAGAATCATAACAACAAGCATAAGCACATGCTAGACAAAAATCTTCTAGACAGCATATTTTGATACCAAGGAATTGACAGAGAGTTTTGATATCAATTGAATTGTTGTCTCGTGTGAGTATATGTTTTTAATTTATTCGTAACGGGTAGTAATTACCCGACCAGTTATAACTGTATGGCGTAGTTCACTGAACACAACAGACATAAGTGAATAAAACGCATTAAAATAATATGTTCGGTTGAAGCTTATTGCTTGTTAGCGACTATCCAAACCAGCAGCTACTTGCCGTATTCTCTTTGTACATAGATAGTATTAAACAAGACGAGCTCTGTCTCGTCCGAGTTGTCCTGGGCATCTCCTTTTCCCAGATTATTGCCCCAGTCTTCATCATCTGGCTGCTCCTTAGATTTTCCATAGTTCGATGGTCTCCAACCTGTCGATGTTATCGTACGTTACCGTTAAGATACAACTAAAACTTGTATGAGATTGAAAAAAGTCAAGCAATTTCCTGAACGTTTATCAAATACACCAGGAGGCTTATTTTTACAGGAGGCGTCGTCTCTAGTGCGCACCTCTTGCCCAAAAACGTCTCTGTATAAATAAATCGCAGAAGCCTCGTATGTCTTCCGTTTTTAGTAAAGAACATGCTAGATCTAATAAATACGTATATGACAACTTAATAGCAAGCCGTACGGGAAAAGATAAAGAGAAGGCGTGACGAAGCTGGCAAAGAAGATGGTTTGAGGTATGAGTCTCTTCGAGGGTTCGAGTTCTACCACTGCCATTACGCATTTATCATAAAGAGCTTTTATCGTGTTACTATTCCTATAATCTGGCCACTTGGCGGAACGGTTTACTTCACTATAAGATCTATTAACTCTAGATTAAATATTACGCTTAGTTATGCTTATATTCTTAACAGGAAATTTTCAGTAGAAATAATTAAGCCTTTGTTTCAACAATTTCTGTAACCTGAAAGGATACTTTTGGTGGCATCACCAATATATAGAACCGATATTTTTGACCGCCCGCAGCATTAAAGACTTAACAAAATAAGATACCCATACAACCATTATCACAGCTAGATGGCTATTACTCAAAAACAAGATACGAGGCACTATAGCTCAACACGAATATGGGAAAAAAATAACTCATTAATTGTAATAGTAGCGCCAACTTTATTCACCAAACGTTTGGTAGTATATACATCGTAATACGGTTTATTGTTTTATACATACTACCCTATTCTGATTCGTATTACCATTATATACAATATTTACTTACTACATGGTAAGAATAAGTTAATAACGTGTTATAAGAGTTGACTCGAAACCAAGATTGAACAAAATTTCAATCAACAAAAATGTAACCATTGTCTTCATAAGTATAGACAGTACATACAATGGCAGATCGCAACTACTACGTTCTCGATTTTGAGTAAGGAGAAAGTATCTGTGTCAATCATGATTGGATCAAGATCCCGGATCTGTCTACCAATCCTTTGCGCCGCTAGCGAGGAAATCCTTACGGCCAACAGAAGACGCTTGCTTGCTTCGGATGGCTTCGAGCTTAGGACAATCAGTGATACGGTGACCCAAACCACCACAATAACTGCAGCCGCGCTCGTCACCGACGACAAGATATTTTTCTGTATCAGACTCCAATTGTGCCAAGAAATCTGGAATTCGCTGTTTGGCTTCGAGCAGCAAATGTTTGAGATCAAGCAGAATCGGAAGTTCAACACTGCGATTAACGAATGTTGTTGCTAGACCCTTGTTAAATGAACGGCCCGTACGACCGATACGGTGTACGTAGTTTTCAATGTCCTCAGGCATGTCGAAGTTAATTACATGTTGAATATCGGTAAAATCGAGTCCTTTTGAAGCTACATCGGTTGCTACGAGCACGTCCTTTCTGCCGGCACGAAATGCATCCACGGCGCGACTACGTTCTTCTTGATCCTTGCCACCATGAATAGCAACGGCTTCTACACCTTTTAACAAGAGATACTCGTGGATAGAATCAACATCCTGCTTCTTCTCCGCAAAAATTAGTGCAGGAGGTTGTGTTTTCTGCAGAGCTTCAAGAATGTGTACAAGCTTCGCCTCCTGCTTCACGTACTCAACTTCTTGCGTGACGTTGAGGGAAGCGGCACCGGCCCGGCCCACGTTGATAGTTATTGGTTGAACTAGGGCAGAACGCGCGAAGTTTTGAATCTTCTTCGGCATAGTAGCCGAGAACAGAAGAGTTTGACGTTGTCCGTGGAAATAAGAGAATATAGTTCGTACATCTTCTTCAAATCCCATATCAATCATACGATCGGCCTCGTCCAGACAGAGATAACGACAGATGTTCAAGTTTACTTGCTTCTTATTGAGCATGTCCATTAAACGGCCCGGAGTAGCTATCATAATATGCACACCTTTTCGTATAACGTCTATCTGTTCCTTGGCAGAGGTACCACCAATACACAGACAGGCTCGCATTCGTGGGAAGCGTCCTTCGCTTTTTAGATAGCTAAAAAAATGTTCGATAATTTCATAGGTTTGCTTCGCCAATTCGCGAGACGGGCAGATGATAAGTCCGTAAGGGCCTTCTTGGCTCTGGAAGGGCAATTTTAATTCTTGTTCTAAGCAAAACATTACCAAAGGCAATACGAAGACCAGCGTTTTACCAGAACCTGTGAAAGCAATACCAATGATATCTCTACCTGATAACACGGTCGGTAGACCCTGAATTTGTATAGGTGATGGCCTATTGATGTTTCGTTTTTTAAGTGCACTCAGAATAGCTCGAGGGAATTTCATCTCTCTAAAGCTCAGAATAGGAGGCGGTATATTTTCGCCTTCAATGAGGATACGGCACTTCTCCCGAATTCGATCGCACTTCTCTGGGGGCCAGGCGGCAATATAGCGTGGCGGTCTCCAAGCAGTTTTGATCGGATCAGTGTACTCAACACCTTTGGCCAATTCAGCAACACCCATGAGTGCACGCGTTTCGGCTACTGATTCAAGAATTTTTTCTTCTTCTCTGAGCTGCTTCTCCATCGCACTTTCTTTGCGCAATTCAGCCTTTTTTTTAAGTTCCTGCGCCTGGTCGAGTAGTGATACATTGGGTCGATGCACAATCGGTCCCTCATCATCCTGGCTATCCTCTGTTTGACTCGCTGTTTTTTGACTACTCGAATCTTCATTCAGGACAACTCCACGACCAAGACGGGCTAATTGTCCTTTACGTCGCTCCTTCACTGGTACGTATGGCACGTAGTCGTCATCGCTATCCTTTTCGGGAGTTTCCTCACGACGACGCCGTTTCAAATACGATGGTTCCTCTTCGGCGGACATGGTGCTAGACTAAATTAGGCTGTCACTCATAATACGATTAAAGCCTAGCAGACCTATGCGATCGGTCCATTTTGTTGATTCTTTTTCCTAGCCGTGAAATTTTGAGGACCGACTGACTGACACAGAGCCGTCGTCTTGTGTCTCAGTAGGTCGTTGCTAATCTTGTTATTAATGTACAGCAAAATACACCGTAGAGCTACTGTACACTAGTACGGATGTATACGACAGGTCATAAGTATACGTAAGTATTAATGGAATTGCAAATGAATCGTTTTTTGGTGTACTAGGAGTCACGCCAAGCTTTATCGGTAATTTAAATGGAGAACGCTCTGGAGCTCTGATTATTGTAAACAAATACGGCTGGCATCAGCAGGAGATGTGTCTCAACTAACGATAGATCGTACTGATTTGACACTTAGATAACTTTAGGCGGGAAGGCAAATATTTAATCAAAAATATCTTATTGGACATATATAATATACCATTAAATGACTGCCACATTCTTTTAACAGAGCAAAGATGGTACGTTAAGAAATATATCAAACATGTTAATTTGATCTTCTACATTACCTCCAGTTCGTGTTCAGCTACTTTTTCGCTCACGTGCTAAGTTATCGTGCATTGCACGTGGCCTATTGTACAGTGTAATGATTGCTTATACACAAACAAATAATAAATGGTCTTTCTAACTTACCATTTGGCCTGCTGTCATGCGGTGATTCGTACGTATATTGCTGATGACTATAAGGTCGGTGAGGAAGCATTTGGCTACTGTACGGCAAATGGCTTAGAATAGGCTCGCTTGCTGCAGCTCCATAAGTACCGCTTCCGTATGACAATGTTGAAGAAGGTGGTCTGTATCGGGATGTGAAGCTAGATGAACCCCCATAAGCCTCCGGAGGTCGATGAAGACCACCGATTGCTGGTTGTTGATACATTCCATAAAGGTGGCTTGCCATAGGTCGATACCGTTCAAGATGAAAATAATGACGGGGTCCCAATGGCGGGGCTGGAGCTAACACTGATGATGGCTTACTCATATCTTGTGGGATTTTGTTGTCCATATAGTATAGCCTGTTCGTTGCTCCAGATACCGGCATACGACTAGGTAGGTACGCGCTAGGATACCGGTGCGGAACTTGTGAACTCACTTGATTGTCAAGCGGAGTACCGGGACCACGAGAACCTCTAGCAGAATCTCCTGGCCGGTAGTCATTTAAAAGTCGTTCACGACCTGCGGGAACATTAAAGTACGTATCAGATGCAATGTATAGGTTTTGCAGAAATGATGTAAGTAAAACAATGGCGACATAAATCGTAGTTTTTTTCTGTTAAATCACACATGCATTGTAGTAAATGTCGGGTAGCAATATACGAACGTATAAAATTTTATGTACTATCCAGTTATCGTGGGAACTTCCTTAGTAATAAAGTAGTTCTAGTGATCAAAATAATGAATTATTTTCTCTAATGATAGGTAGTGAATCAGGTAAATGATGTTTGCAAGTTTGTAAGTTAATCAATAATAGTTGTTTCATGTAGCTAATGAAGATTATTTCTGTCAGACTGGAAACATAACACAGTCATCATTGGTAGTACGAATTTATTTTAACTGAATCGTCGTTGCCCTCTGATATGCGAACTCTTTGAGCAGCCTCTTTGTAATATTAATGCAAAATTTCATGTCAATTGTCTAAGAATTTCGACCATTCCACCTATTCATATGACCGCCGCTATATATAGCGTTTAAAAGAAATCGTGTTACCGAACATTACGATGAATTACATTATCAGGCATCGCGCAGTAGAGCCGCACAGAAGAACGGTAGCATAGAAGTTGCCTGAATTTCTTTTACGTTCATTATTATATATGATATGTATATTGAATTTAATGCCCCCCCCCCCCCCCCGTTCAACGCCTTGGTACTACAAAAGAAGTCATCGACGCTAGGTAATGGAAAGAGCTAAACTCTGTTATTCTATAACTTGTTACGTAGATTCTTTTATCTGATCTCGGTGTACACTCTTTATTGAATAACGTTCCAAATGAAATAATCTATGACCAATTCTAACACGAAGCAGACTAGAAGCATCAATACGAACTTCTCTCGTCTTATTGTAACTTTCTGTTACCTTAATGGAACTTCAGTAGCCATTTACAATTTAGAACTTAATTAATGCCTGACGTTTTGTTATATTATATTGTCAAATAAACTTGCCGTTACCTCTTGGGTGGACAGTATTATTGAAAAGTACCTTGAAAGGGATCAGCAGCGCTTATATAGCTCGCAGAAACAGGAACATATAGTGGACTGCGTTGCTGATTGTGCGATGCTGGTTGAGGGCCATGGGAGGAAGATGATTGGGGCAGATCGGGATAACGGGTGAACATGGGTCCCGCATGGGGTCGTAAAGGTCTGTAAGCATCAGGCGGTTCGTGATGGAAATTGTCCAAACGGTGGTAAAGAGACGGAACACGGTGGTCCATGGGATGAATTGGGTTACTTGGATGTACCCGCTGAGCGTTAGGGTGGTTCGGATAAAGCTGTTCAAGATGGAATGGAGATGTGCCGCTTCGCTGACCAAATGGACTGTTCGTGGGGTAGTATTGGTGGCTGCAGATCGATCTTTTATTAATTTGTGAAACTCCTGTGGTTCATTGTGAAGTTATGTTAAATAAAACCTAGCTTCCTAAAAAAGAGTGACCTAAAAATGACCTAAAAGGAAGCAACCTAAACTAAAAGGTAACTTAGGAATAAAGGTCATTATTTCTCAAATATTGTACGCACTTTTTATATTGGTCGTTCTTGATCTTATCTTGTTGTAGGAGTTTTGCTTTCATTTTTTTTTCCTTGCTAGTGTCGGTTTTATTAACGCTACTTTCTTCATATCTGTCTAGAGCTCGTCGAAATCTCTTTAAAGACTTGGCTGATCGACTCATGTAGTCTTCAAACATTGTAGATCTGAGGTGACCTCCCAGATGGGTAATTAGTTGGTGCGATGCTGTGTGCAGCTCCTGAGGCTAAAATTATCGAGAAAAATAATAGGAACTACTATTGGAAACCCTTGAAATAATATTGAGATATGAGTAGTTCATTGAAAAAAAACATTTTGAGGAAGGTACATTTTGATGAATCGGACTAAAAGCTCTAACCATACAACGCATATCACATGATAACCAAATAAAACCGAAATCTGTTTTTTACAACTCCAGAAAATAGAAAGCCTAATGGCAGCTGAAGGTATTTTACACTATAACCAATGATACCATGTTATGGAATTACTATACTTTGTTTACAAAAAAACATCGTAGATTATATTTTAAAAAATGTGCTTCTACCTGCATTCCCCAGAGGTATAAAACATGCCGTAAAGCCATCGCTGATTGACCTTGAGCCCCTAATAGAGTCATGAGTAATGACTGATCGATACAGAAGGGGCAAATGGCGATGTTGCCTTCAGAGTGACGCATTGTTCGGTACAGATCGATTCCGAACTGGTTTGCAGAAAAGGCCAGCTTCCGCATACCAAACGTTAGAGGAACGCCCTGACCAAGTGAAGGTGGTAACAGCAATGACGCAAGAAGAAGGTATAGAATTGGTCGCATCTGGGAAAGAAATATATTATTATGAAAAAAAAATCTGAGCATCTGACTTTGATGATTAATTAAATTATGTTGTTAAATAGGTTGGTAGTCATCCTGACGGCATTTCGTTCATGCTTAGTATGCAGATCATTACTTTTCTACGGTTTTCTAGTTTTTTGTTGGCAATTTCGTTGGAATCTCTTTAAGCGTACAACAAAATAAGTTTTGTTGATTCTCATTACAGACCCTTTGACCGATTACGAAATGGGTGTTACAATGTCTATATTTACACTATCTATAAAATACATGTGTAATGCTAAAAAAATCTGCAAATCAATCTTAGCACGGCTCGGAAAATTTCAAACGAAAAATTCTAACGTTAAGATATACTTTAATGAAGATCAAAGGTTACGATAAATATTAAACCACAGTTGCACTATTTGTACGTTTTTCTACGTATACTATGATATATCTCTGTTGTTATATCGTTACATGTAGCAATTCAGATTTGTTGTCATCCTCTTGAGGAAAGAACTAGCCAGTTGCTAATCGATCCTGGCAGAAGTCGACACTTCTCGATCTTCGATCACATGCTGATGACGCGACAATAACTTGCTCTACGTATTTTACCAATGCAAACTGGTTAACCCACAACTTTAGATATAGAGCCGATTTTGCTTTTTTAAATGGTCACGTATTCTGTATGAAGTGGACGAACCACGCCATTAGATTTAGCTAGTCTATCAATGGGCTAAAACCCATCGACTGGTACATTATTGTAACAATAACTCTGTTGTGATGTCACTCCATTGTATTTCCTAACAAATTTTTAGAGAAATTATGCTCTTGCAGCCTGAACAATATCAAGCTGGGTCACTTGTGATAAATTTTTTTGAAGGTCAAAGATAATGTTTTCTATCAATTGGCTGCTGTAATACCTTTCGGGTTTTGCTAAGCCTTGTTTCTGTTATTTAGTTATCACTCTTTGTACTGGCTCCCGTTGTGCGTGCAGCTAGCGTTAGGGATGTTGCACATTAGTCTTTGAAGCACAGCCTTCTGCAGTTGCTAGATGGTTCATTTCACTATAATTATTTGTTGTCACTTCTTAAATCTGTAACTTTATCGATGCCATCGGTCTCAATCGTCCTCTAAAATTCTACTTAGTGTGTCTCCATTTATTTTTATTGAGTGTCCCGACCTCTGCTTTGGCCTTTGTTGGTGACTTTCATCTTCACCAGTGTCCTGTTTCATCTGGTTGATGGTGCAAGGCCAATGGAAATAGGTTTCGAACCAGTGAGGTCTCTAGAAAACAACACACAGCTATGTGACCGTCGGCATAGTTGTCATTTTGCTCTCTCTTCTGTAATAGTTATTAGTAGTTTGTAGTTTAACTAGTTGTTTATTTAGGAATAAATGCTATGTCTGCTTTTCGCGCACCGCAAAGTCTATATGTTTACTATCCACTTGTGAGATTGTGTAGTGACTAAGTACGAATTCTCAAAAAGCTATTTAGTAATTATGCTTTGATATATCTAAAGTACGCACCGTTAATTGAACAGTTTGATCTGCCACGTGCCGCAAGGATGGGCGTATTATGAATTATCTAACAATAGAACGCCGAAGTGACTTGAATTTCAATAAATATTTGCCACAGTGTCTACATGAAGGTATCCGTTGTCACAGAGGTGTACTCATCCGTCCGACACCGCTAAAAGTTAATGGGATATTAACACTTCGCTATAGGGTTTTTAATCATTGTCAAAATTTAGTTTGCACCACTTTTCCGAACGTTTCTGCTTCCACCGCTTTCATTTTGAATTGTCTTGTTCCGACTGCCTGTTAAAGTTCGTGATGTTCTTCTCAGCTGTTAGCAACGTGCCACGCTGAAATCACGAAAGTGGATATCGCATGTTCCAAGCTCAGCAGAAGTCACTACACGCATCAGAAATTGCGAATTAATCCGAATGCAATCCGAAATACATTACAACTGGATATCTAAATACCCTGTGATCTCACAACTAATGTACAAGTAAACTTAACTCTAGTTCGCAGTGGAGCTGTGCTGCCAATTTTAGTGCATGATTTTATTACGTGCACTACTATGTGTAGTGCAGTAGTATCAGAATATATGTGCGAACTGGCTGAAGCCTTTACTACCTATATCAGATCGAAATTTGGGGAAAGGGCTGGCCGACGTTAGGGGGAGCCTCTTCCCAGGAGTGTCAGGAAGTCTATGCGTATCGCAGAGTGGTTAGGTAACATCCTTTTCTGCTTCACCTATCCTTTCCAAATATTGTAGGTCATTAATGTAATTAATGTAATATTTGAAATTTTAAAAAGAACAATTCGTCCGATAAGTCGTCCGGCGCAACGGTAAGTAGAAACTAATGTATTCCGTTTGTCTATTTATATTGTTTTCAACGACAAATAGGGTTACCTAGGTGATGATAATTTTCTAATCGCGCAAAATGCGTTATGTTCTGTAAATCCCTTCTTTTTCCAGTGTAACCACCCACATAGGCTTTACACTTCACGAGCTTTTCGTGGGCCTCACTTACGCATAATCCCTATATCTTCACGGCTAGCCCGCATAAAGTGGTAAGTTCGATTGTCAAAACAGAGTGGCCTAAATAGGCTCCGCTCTGTTGAATTTAAGAGAGAATGCCAAAAGAAAAAGCGCAATGTATTTAGTGTGCGCCAAACTTCAGTCTGGCCTGGCTCTCAAAAATAGACTATCGGACATCACCAAAAACGCCAGCGACGAAGGTACCGCCTTTCAACATGGCCTCGGGCCACGTTATTTAGTAGAGAGGTGCGGAGCAGTCAGTTTTAGTCTGAACGGGCCCGTAAGGCAATAATAGCAACAGCAACGATAATGCCTCGATGCAGAAAGAAATGAGTTCAAAATTAACGTTAACAGCCGACAAAGCAAAGGAGGGCGGCACTGTGGCGTCACAATAGAGTTTAGGGAAAAATTATCATTGTGTGCGGAGCCGTCAAGAGTCAGCAGGGCAGAGCAATCATCACTAGCGGTAACAGCGAATTGGCGTTGAGCCAGGTTGGGGTTGCATTTCCGCCCGGTTTATCAAACGCTTCAGCAGCATTAAGATCACCATGGCGCACGTTACTAGCCAGCGTGTTGCTGTTATTACGATTATTGTTACTTTTTTCGTATGGTTGAATCATTCGGATAGAATGAGAGAGAGAGAAACGGAAAGCTCTGCGGTACTCCATTGAATTTGGCGCCACTGCTGCAAGTGACCGTTGTCTGCTGTTTGGTTGACCGACGATTACGAAGATCATAATAAATCCATAATAAACAGACTGTTCCAACGAGAAACGTTATTATAGTAGATCTTCGATGAAGATAGTTTTTGCTAGGTTAATTGCGGCTGTGATAACTGGGACAAAAATCGAATAAGCTTATGTCGTTCGAAGAGCAACCAAATATGCACAAATAAGTTTTTGGTTATTTGTTATTGGATCCAATACTATCTCATCGTGGCTTTGAACTTAAAGAACAAACATGTTATAGAACATTTAACTGAGTTAAGAAATAAGAAAAAAGGGAACGGCAAATTAAAGGACTATATAAGGTTATTCGGTGGAACTTAAATGTAGGGGAATTTTTCGATTAACTTACTATTATCGCGACATACTTTTTATGGTTCCCGCGCCAAGAAGAATCAAGAGAAATGATACAATCGATTTATCATTCGTAACGTATCAATAAGATGCAAAATTTTCAAAATAATATGTGTTGTTTTTGTGTTACATAAGCCTGGAATATTCCCTGTCCTAACTTTTTCCGTTTGGGTTCCAACCCACATTTTTATATATGAGTGTATATTTGTCTGTTCTTCTAAAACCGCTTTTCTGCATGATTAGAGCTAACACATTACCAAATTTGAATTAAACAAATTCTTCGAGGGTTGAATTTGGTTATGTCTTTTTTCTTAGTATCACATACAAGGTGTCCGAAAGACTTTTACAGCAGCTAATTGTTCCACGCTATTGAAGATGAAACATCTGTATTTTTTCTTGATAAAATAATTTGTTAATAAGAAACTAGCTTTTAAGAATTATTTTTTGGTTTTATTAAGCCTTTCTGCGATCAAGTTAACTGTTCCGGACACAAAAGTGTCTTCCAAGTTGAAAACTTCGACACGTTACAATTAGAAAGTTAAATAACATTGCCAGTTTGGAAAGCTACAAAAACGTTCTGTGAACTTTGTTAATATTCGTCACAAGTAATTATCATACTAAAGTATTTCGGTAGCTTAATACTTGGGTGGATCCTACATGTATAGAATTCGATGAGATCTACAATCTAGCAGTTTGTCAACCGTTTACGTAACTTAGACTGCGTGAATGAAAACATTTTCAATCTTTTACGTATCTAGAAGGTAACAAATATTTTCTTCTTTTTAGTTGCGCAACTTCTCTGCAAGTAACACTATTTGAATCGATTTACCTTTTGGGTCGTTGAAACTTCGTTTTAAAATTACGAGAATATCAAAATAAAAATATCACTATAAAATTTACAGCTAGAGCATTTGTAATCCACAATGCAAATGAACGAACAACAGGCAACCGAATAATTTAGCGCAGTAACAATATTTGAACACTTCCTGCAAAATGGAACACAACCCAGTTCTGGTTCCGGTTGGAGATCAGATACACAAATTTTTAAAAGGGCTCTGGATAAGTTCAACGCGGGATGACAAAGCATGCCATCAGCTAGGGTAGCTCACGCAACTATAAAGTTATCGTTTAAAGAGGGCGTTATGGCTTGAGTATACATTTCTCTCAAAGTTCATCATATGCGTATTTTCTGTTCACGGATCTCACTTGCGTCTATTTCACGACGCAACAGTAGCAACAACTATGAGGTAAAAAGTAAAGTAAGCAGAGCTATTTGGCTTTTAGCGAAAGCTAAATTTATTGCATTGACAAATTACAATAATATTATTAGATCTACCCTCCTAACCGAAAATAATAGACGTTGATGATCGGGTTGATACTGAACCCATGTTTAGAGGCCAGCAGCGCACAACATAGCCCAATGATTGTCAACGTTTTCCAATCTTTTTTTATTGTACACTTCAGCTAGATAATCGTACATACGTAGACACCTAACTGAGATTTCACCCTTATTTTTGCCCATTTTGTTTAATACGTCAATTGGTTGATCTATATTTGAAAAAGAAATTTTCTTAAAGAACACACATTTCCCATATGGACATTTTTTCGTTCAAGCTGTGGCCATCTTAGCAGTTACTCATTATACATATACGATATGTACACCCAGACAAAGCATCATTTGCGTTTTTATGTCAACACTTGTGTATTCTGTGATGGCAAGTGTCAATAAAAGCGGGAATGATATTTACGTATTATTAAAAATACATGTTCATTTAGTTTTACCATTGAAACTTTTCCTGTATATGATCTACTTCTCAGTTTGGCTGTCTGATCAATTTTCCCTGCATGAGTATTTGTATCGCTTAATGTAGAAACTTTTGGACAGAGCTTGTTACATCAAGATGCTAGATGTTTATTACAATGGCACATGCATTTTTAGGGAACTAACATTTGGAGCAAAGACTTGTACTTTGTCCACTCTGTTCGATGTAACTTCTGCTTGTAACAACAGAGTTTTAAATTTTGGTTCAGTTGGATAAAGGTTTAGCGCCAAACGAAAATTTGAACCCCAACGACCAGGGCGACAGAGGAGGTTAGAGAATGACGAGAGTGGAGACTTCATGGGAGAGGGTAGGAATAATCACGCCTCAGACGAACCCATTCTGACAGTGGCAGGAGTTGGCTCGAAATTCAGTTTTTAAAAGTCTGTGACACGACCCTGTTTTACGAGACAGTTTGGCCGTAGCCCTTCGATCATTAAAATCTCAACAGCTAAGGCGAGTACAATACAGAGCTCTGAAACCGGGCGCAAAAGATATCAGTGGTAAATGAGCTTAGACATCGGAAGCCAGCCAACAATAATGATATTTATTATTTGAAACTGTAACATATTGTTTACATGATTGAAAATACAGTAAAATCCAATTTACGTGTGTAATACAATTTTTTCAACGGCTTGATAACTTGATTAATCTCTACAGCACTTCAAGTTATGCTCGCTTACTAGAAAAACCTGATTTACGCGATAATATATATTATTGTGCCATAAGAAATTTAATTATCATTCTATCATACAGATTTATACTTTTGAAAGAGCTCAAGATGACTTCGCATTGTTTTCTTCCTTAAAGTATGAAAATGCACCGCCTGTGACTCACAGCAAGCATCTTCACTATACAAGTAATATTATATTGTGTCTAGATACATAAATAGTGAAATTAAGCTAAAAATGTGAAATAAAATTAACTGAAGAAGAATAGTAGATATATTTAACCTCTGCGTGTGATTTTACCGAGAAAATAACACAATGTAATGAATACCATTTAAACACATTTAAGCTATTGTTAGCAAATAGTACATTGTTTTCATCGTCCTTCTGATTACGTTAAGGCAGACATTTACACGTATATTTACACGTATTTTCACGTATATTCGCATATTCGTATTTTACGTATTCACGTATATTCACAAATATACCCGCACAGAGATGCGCCTCTATTGTTCGGTCTGTCAAAAAACCAAGCTAGCAGTAATTAGATTACGAGTAGCGCGAAGGCGACACACATGTAGAGACATGAATTAACGAGCTTTCTTCATGGTAGCGACTCGTTTCATTCAACGTTTAGTCACTTTTCGGTATACACCTGGTAATATCTTTGAAATGGCGATATGGATGTTTTTCTGGAGTTGGTTCACCATTTCCGAAAATACAACCGAAAAAAAGAAGTCGAGCGGAGTTATGTCAAGGGGTTATTCCATTCGATTGCGAAGGGCTGTTCGATGTCACTCCACCTGAAAATCACCCGTTCATCGTAGTGATTCTTTCGTAACGCGGTTATATTACTTCTTGCGTGGAGGAGTTGACTAGCCTGCTGCTAACTACATGCCCTACAAACACTTTTTTCAACGATTTGAAGTACAGGAAAGTTTGGAATCCTCTCATGGTAAAGAAGAGAGATCACAGTTTCATCAAAAAAAAGGGTTAATGACGCATCTAGCTAACATTTCATACCATATAAGGGCTTTTTGGGATGCAAACCCATTTCGCAGGTAGCCCGTGAATTATTGGACTATAATGATTCACGGATGGCGGACAGAGCTAAGGATAATATTCGAATAGCCATTTGAAAAGCCAAAGAAAATGACTAAAATCAGATAAAACGGATAATTGCCGTGAAAAAGAGTCCAGGAACCGTGAGTACCGTTGATTCTCACGGTATGGTTCGTGATGAAGTTGCCAGCTACAGGGAACAAGATGCTAGCGAATTTTCCAATTCTGTAAATGCGCATTTTTTGCACTGAGTAATATAACCCAGAAATGGCGCTTGAAAAATGTAAACGTGACGCCGAAGCAACGGACAACTGAAAAACATTTCCCCTTATTCGTAGTATTGACAAATTAGTGGTTTTATTCTACACAAACATTTGATATTGCGCTTTTTCTTGTTTTTGCTGTACTAATTATCATCATGTATATGTGTCTATGCTGTGACTGGCGGAAATATCGTCAGCTTTTTGGTTATATATCTATAATCTAACTGGAGTTAATGTTCGCGAAAGGCTTATTTACTATTAGCTACCTGCGATGTCAACCTCTACAGCAAACGGGCATACGTGACAAGAAGTTTTGACAAACGGCAAATATTTTTCCAGAAAGAAAATTACTATGGATATCGTCGATTTTCTCGAAAATGTTTCACATTACACAAAACGTGTGTTTATACACATACAAGCTGAGCCACTAAAGGTCGAATCATTGAGATCTAATTGGTGTCCTAGCATCCGACGAGATGCCACGGTAGTGACGCGGCGAAACCGTTGAGAAGGCACCACTACATAGCCTCAGTGATATTAAATGTCGCTGCCGTTTATGTGCGTTCAGTTAAGTCAATGATCTCTTGTCGGTGCAACAGCAATTGAGATTCGTACTACGTAAAGTATTAGTCAACACCACGCAGTCGAACTGAGAATTGGACTAGGTAATCCAACCAGACCAAATTTATTCAATGTATTTCTACTATTGTCAAGATTTAGCCCTCAGACAATAGAATAGTACGGCTGCTATGTCTACACTACGCCTGGATCAGAGCGCCGCGGTCCAATAAGCACGACTCGATATTCTTCAAGTTCCTAAAGCGAGCTTTGCTTTAAAAAAGGTTGCTTATTATCCATCGATGCGGAGCGGTTATCGAATTGTTTTTGCAACATCTAAAACAGTTAGAAACGGACTTCTCTATTATCTGAGCTTCATCGCATCTTGGAAATGTGATCTGACTACTACACTTGCACCTATTCCTAACGAGAAATTTTACACCCGTTTCTTAGAGAACTCGCTGATGTTTCAGAAAACCGGCTCAAAATTCTGGAGTTAGCGAGAGTACTGATGGCGGTCCTGGTATACGCCAATAAGCGTGCGTCCGCATATCTAGGTAAAGACTGTCCGGGTACGTCTGCAAAGAAACATTTAGCAGCACAAGAAACTACAAGAAAAAATCTTTCTTTTAGAGGAACTGAAGATGAAGATAGCAATAACGAAGGGGCATCCCAAGGCGGCGTTGCTTGTTGAAGCTGACATCAGTAGAAATGCCACCGAGGCTGTGTAATGGTGCGCTCTCAGCGGCTTGGCCTCGTCACTTACGTGGTACCTTGTCAAATAAAAAGACACCAATTAGATAATAAAACCGACTGCACAACCTGATTCAGGTTTGAGATTCGGCTTTATATGTATATAAGTACATTTTTTGCCTATTTGAAATAGTCGGAAAAATAGACAAAATCCATGTTAGCTTTTTTAAAACGGCGGACAGCAAATTTGCTGTCCGCCGTTTTTATCGGCAAATACCCATTTACTAAATCTCCATATATGAACTATACTATGCTTTCTGGGTGTTATTTATTAGTAACTGATTCAGTGGTAGGTAGAGGGGTATGATTCGTCGATTTTTCAATGGCTTACCAACAGAATGAACTAACTGATGGAGATCGAATCACCTTTTCTTTTAGAGATTCTAGTCTATCCACCGTCCCTGTGCGGAGGACAGACCAAGGATGGCTGCACAACAGCAATCAGGAAACTTTCTACGAAGCATTTTTGAATTCGATGAAGCTTTGCATTCATTTATATCGAACGATAATCTCGCAATGGCCGAACAGGTCAGTATAATTTTAGTAGAAAGTGCATGTTTTCTTGTATCTAGAAATGGAAAACCAGCTATTCAGTTTATTTTGTATGTTTACGTGCAAATATTTAGGACACCGAAGTCCTTTATAGAAGCCTTACCCAACAGAACACGTAGCATTTGTTGTTCACCAAGAAAAGAATACTGGCCGAGAAATATTCTGATTAAATTTCTCGCAAAGAATTACTGGAACCTGTTTTAAGATCCATAGGTCCAAAGCAAAATGGCCAGACAACGTTCAATTTAGTCAGATAATAGACATTCAAATTGAAGCATCGAAAATCTAAAAATCCAAAATGTATTACTGCAAACATAATTAACTAGTAATTTCAAATCGAAGACTTGCAAATGGACATTAAAGATTACACCAATTAATTATGTTAATTCGACTATCATCAGTTCTTCTTACCAGTAATCTAGCTTTTTCCTCAAAAAAATGTTGTTTCAGATCCCTGCTGGCGCAACTACAAACATTTGCACTTATCTGTTTATTGAGGTCCCTATAGAGAATAAATCAAATAACTGACTAAAATTGACTTCGTGATACACTATTTGATTATCTATACGTCGTACATTGTTCTTTAGTATGAGGCTAATTGCTATGCGGTCCTGTTTCTTTGGCATTAAAGTTTCTCATCATGAACCTGGTTTTCCTTGAAGATGCTCACAAAATACCGTACGCGGATGTATCATACGTCTATGTTTAGAATGCACAGTCGTGACCCTTGGGCCGTCAGAAAACATCTTCTACAGCGAAAGTGTTTTGTTGAAAGAAATGGATTGACCGTTATCGGTCAGCTACATATAATAATAATAATTCAAGCTGCAAAAATTGACGGGACCCCGAATCCGAACAGTTGATTAATCGCACTAGAGTTCCGCAGTCATTATCACGTGCACAAAAGCCTTCCTACACGTGGAATGGGGGCATTCAATTACTTTCTGTGCTGCTACCGGTTAAACTAATGTCCTATATCCCGTTTTCATTCGCGTTGCGAAACAATTACTTTTGGTCTGCTCAGCTCAGTTCTCTTCTAACGGCGGGAGCTGCCCGTAGTGTAGTCTGCCTTGTTTTAAACATTACGTTCTATCCCTCGAAATGAATTAACCACGTAAACACAGAACGAAGCTCAGAAAGCATGGGAAAACGCGTACGAAAAACGTACTGTTTCTACTCATTGGAAGCCCACAGTTTTCTCTTGAAATAGGCCAAAAACTAAACATCCATCTCGCATAAGATATTCAACCTGCAAATACTACTAACCTAATCCTCATAAGACCAACTTTCTTCGGGTCGTAATAAAAATTATATAAAGATTGTATCAAATAGGTTACAGTCAAGCTTGGTGTAAGTTTCACGTTTTTAGTCATACTTTCATTTGATGAAATAAGTAGCAAATATCACCTTAGCGAAAACCGCTCGCGGGAGACTGGTGGTATTCGCTAGTTTCTTTATATAGATAATCCATGACTTTGGCTTACCAATGATGTGTGAAGAGCACTAAGGGGGGGGGGGGGTCGTGGCGTGTAAAGCCAAATGAGGTTACACGGACGGATGAAACAGAATCGGCCGCTCACACTTAGCTATAACTTAGATATATTTAGGGCAGTGACTGACCTCCTGTCGCTAAAGGAAAAACAATAGAATTAACTGGCTAACTAAATGTTGAGAGCGAATCAGCTTTTCACATTTGCTGTTCGACGCAATAGGCGATAAAGGTGCATCGAGTGCATTTTGTTAAATGTACAGCATTACTGTTTCATTAATGTGTCAATTCAAGGCGCATATCACCTAGACAACGCTATGTTGAACGATGGCTTTTATTTTGGTCAATATACGAAACGCCCGGCAATAGGTCCTAGTTTAAAAATTTGGTATGCTAAAAATTGGTGTAGGAAAATTATTATTATATACAATATGACCTATTAGAACATACGACGCAGTATAGTTATTATCAGAAAATTAGTAGTGAAAAAAATATTGTGTGACGTCATAATTGTGAATCTGCACCAAAATGTGTTTCATATCTTCCAATTAACTCATAATAAAAGGCGTTCAAATATAGGTATCTTCGATAAATATAAGGTTCGAATAGAGAAACATGCAGATACGGACGACTTTTGTCAAACTCTTTTCAGCGAAAACAATGAGACTAATAAATTTTCAAACGAGCCGTTTAAAGAGTTTGCTTCAAACAAATTTTCTGAGAGTTCCGTTATCATAAGGCAGTATAATATTATATATTTGTTAGTGTATGCAGATGTCGTGATATACCATCGCCATGATTTTCTCTCTGCGAAGTTCTGATACTCTAATTATCTAACTGTTCGGGGTATTTTTTTAAGGGTTCACTGGGCTACTAAATATACGTTTACATTTTATTGACACCTACATTTTTCATACAGACACTTTGGCAAGCATCAAGCGGCGATGGCGTCTTAAGATGATACAGATTATTCATACATTTGTACAACTAGAGTGTTCAGTTTTATATGAGGAGTCATACTGAGTCAAAACATGTTGAGTGCGAGCCATATTCAACCGCACCCTTAACATGAAGTGGGTTTCTTTTGATTCTACATAAATCGAAGTAATTTACTGTAGATCGTCACTACGGTAAGCAATACAGAGATGACAACATACGCTTTATTGTGACCTATTCGTTCCAGTCAACTCTTTCGGATGTCTAATTGATTGTGTCTGTCTAACTTGTGATTTTCTTGCTTTTGTTGCTATTTTTTTCCTATAGTTGGGCCTATTCCTGACACTGCACAAAGTAGAGCATGCAGAAACCTTCTACAAGCACATTGTTGGGCTGCGTTTAATCAATCAAATAACAGCTAGCCTTCAGCTGAACACGGATCCTAACAAAGCCCTCAGGGTCAGTCTGATGAAGGGTATTGCTTTTATTTGTATCGCTTGAATATTTGTTAAATTCTATACTATATAATCGAATCCTATACTATATAATTCCGTTAGCGGAAAGATGTATAAGACAAATACAATGGGATATTTTATCTCTCCTTAACTCCCAATAGCTCATCGATGTCGCAAATATCGGAATCTCTATGATAACCTCCTTGAAATATGACGATGAGATCGAGTAATAGGAATTGTTTCAATTTCAGACACAAACTGTACTCTCCATTGTTGAATACATCAAGACAAATCCCCGATGTCGCGAAGATGAACTTCAGGCCCAGATCATGCGACAAATCGAGGCGTTCGCCCAGTCTGTCCAGTAGATCAATACACATAGCTGTGTAATCCTTGGTAATAAGAATATACTACGTATCTACGTATATGAGTTTACACACCGTCCTTGAAGGTCCTTCGAAATCAACGTGAGCTCAGGCTCATATTTTGACAGAATAATAAAAGTATATACTTGCAAGTATTAAAAAATTACATCGTTGTATTATGCGTGAAAGCTACATTTTCATAGAAGAGGGGTTTTTAATTACAAGCCCTTTACATATGTATACTCTATACTTAGAACATATGCGTGACCTTGGTATTTATGAACCAGCTTGTCTATTATAGCAGTGCACATTACTAGAAAGAAAGCTAACAAACGATAATTTCTATTATTGTAAAAAAAATATCTATACTTTGCTCTAGATGTCCATAATTATTTAAAACAAGTATACCTACTATCTTTTTTTTAACACAAAATTGTCAATTTACCCGATGTAAAATTTCTAACTCGATCACCAGTATCTGAAGCCGGCCGGTTTTTTCCAAATCATTTGTAGTGAATAAATCAATTATCAGCTGTGTAATTGTGTTAAGCAGAATGAGTATGTCCTTTACTCTTTTAAATTTCTACCTCTATAGTATACAGAAAAAAATCATGCAGAATGTTAACGATATTCGATTTATTGAAAAAAATCACGGTTCAAAGGGCAATGTTTCACGACATAAAGAGTATAATTATGTTTAGATTCTTCGGCTAGCAATACAGATTTTTTTCTTTAGTTACGAGCGTAAGCTAATACGTAGTCTAGAGCCCATCGGCAATCGAGCCCGTTAGCGGTTAGCCAGAGCTTGATGGAATAATTTTCTTTGAATTTTTCTACAGTAATCAGCACACTAATACGAGACAATACTGGACTTTGATCAAATAAGCCTTAGCATCTAAGAGCCATAGTATATGCTGTATGTGTTTATTGCATATGCCACTTTTCATAGTAGAGAGAATTTCGTTGCATTCTGTGAGACCACTAGCTTTTTTTTCAATGTTTACGAGTGGATGCAAATTGCCGCTTTTAGCTGGCTTCGTTCGTATAAATAGATCGAGGCGATGACTTTACTTTTAAGTTCTGCTCATAATTCAGTCTTTCTTTTAGCGAACACTGGCAGCAATTATACACTCAAACGAATTTCCACGTTTGAATGCTTCACGCTGTTATTGTGCTACCAACGATAAGATCTTAGAATACAAATAAAATATTGCACTGGTGAAAGTTATGATCGCTAATCGGGCTCAATCATTACTGTCGTTCAATAATGAAATCCAGAGAAATAGTGAAGGAATCTTGCGTGTTTTCGAACTATTTGAATTTCGACGAGGGCGGGCAATCGTGCATCAGGCAAGGCCCTTATCTGGGGCTTCAATCAGTGTAATTCAACGAGGAAAGAAAAAACATGTTTAGCTTGCAGCGACGGTCCCATCCATCGTAAGGAATCAGTCGTTTGAGACTTTGTGACGTGGATGAACTTCCGCTTTAGGGCATAAATGAATATAATTAGTGACCGATCAGTCCTAGCTGAAAGAAGGACGGCCATTTGGTAACGTGAGTCATCTGATTTAACCCGATTGAATTTATTTGGTCCGGTGCCCTCTCGCCATCGTTCTATTGTTCTGACGGCCTTTCTCTCTTAGCACAGCTATGTGTACTGCTTCTAACGTTCGAAACTGATGCTTGACAAGACAGATGCGGGTCTCGGGATATAACGACGATAAATGGACTGCTGATTAGATTGTGGGTTGTCTCAATACGAATAGATTTACATATAGAATAGAAAGGACGGAACAACAGTCGAGGCGTTTACAACTTGATTATGGTAAAACGACTTGACTAGCAAATTTTAACCTATTAAAAAGCGTTTTGCTGTCAGCAAAAACACGTGGGGTCGATCCGTTTTTCTGTATAGTCACTGCTTTCGTTGTTATGTCATGACACAGCAAAATGTCACTTTTGTTGTCACTGTCAATTCAGCTACTATACCCGACAAGTTCATTGTTGTAGATATTGTTATTATAGTTGTTGGCGTTACTACCGTAAAATCGGGACAATCGGGACTAGCTGTTCTGGTGACGCACCGGTTAAGCGTAAGGTTTCTCATAGCTAGTCATAGTTGACCGGCCACTTGTCAAAGCTTAGCTAGAAGCGCTAGCTCACTCAGTTACGGCCAACGATCATAAAAGACTGACTTCTGCTGCGGTTGCTGGTACAGCTGTTATAACGGTAGGAAGCGACGCGCCGAAATACCGTCTCCTGCCTATGGTTCGTCGCTGGTCGGTGAGCCCGTCTGAATTTTGTTCATACTATCCGTTTCCGTTATTGTCGTAGCCGCTGCTCTTTAGATTCGTCGTCACGGATATTGTTCAGCGTGACTTTTGATCACTACCGGTACCTCTATGGAGTTACGTTACTAAAGGTGGTACGCGTTGCAAACACTCACCACTCACCCTGCACTCAGCCAAGCCGTTTACTGACGGTAAACTGAAACGGAAAATTTCTCGAGTCCAAGAATTGCTTCCGATCAAGAGTTAGGCAGCGAACAAAGATTTATTAAATCGCCAAAGGAACGTATTCGCTTTTGAATTGTTGGAACCCAGAAATATATAAATACACAAACACGTCCGTTTTGTTAGTCACCCTTAGCGTATTACAAATGTTGAACTTAAGTTAACTTTTTAATAGCTGGAGCCTTTTCAGTAGGACCGTATCGGTGCTATAGTTGTTTGATATAATCGCAGACCGAAGCGAATTCGTTTGCTGCTAGTTAAAAATAGGTCAGAAATGTCACTATAAAACGCTATTTTTTAGGAACACAGATGAGCCTGCCTTTCATCTCTTTGTTAAGTAGATGAATCCTTCGCGAAAATTTTACTTTACCTCTTTTATCATCACCCCCTTTTTGGATCCAACGCCTTTATCCTTCTTTTGATCTCCGGCGCCGTGTTTCCCAAATTACTTCAAATTACACCAATAAAAAAACATTTCAGAGTCACTCAAGTGACGGAATTATCGTCTCGGAGTATCGGAATTTCTTTGACACTAATTCAAGTACATTGTCTTGTCTATTTTTCAATGTAGAGACACAGCGAGCACCATAAAGATAAATCTAAAGAGATAAATGGATTGAGCTGAAAATCGGCGGTATTTTAAACTTACCAGAGATAAGAGTTTCCCGAACGGTTCTTAGTGTCCTCCACGTTTTCTAATCCCACTCAGAAGTTACGCCGCATCCCTGTCCATTGTGATTCCATAGTGTTTTAGGACCAAAGCCTAACATAACTAATTTATGAAATTTGGAGTCAACAAGTGAATAGAGAATTTATTTCATAATCCGTTGTGCTGTGCTTCAGAACGCCTGCTAAGGCAGAGGTTGCGCCCACATCGTTTGTGTTGATAGCGAAATACGAAAATCAAAGTTACCATCTTGTCAAGCTACCAGCAGTGAGAGCGCTCGCGCTTGCCGATGCGGAATCGATTCGTCAAATGGTGGGGAACGCAGCTGTAGAGTAGAATGCAGTGATCCGTTTTGTTTCTGTTAAGCCTGCATGGTACCATATGTACAAGTTGACCAATTTGCTTAGATGCATCAGTAGGTAGCTTTCCGTAAGGCTCAGGTGAGGCGGAGTTGCATATCGCCCTGGATGTGAGTCCTCAAACATGTTAGGCCCCTGCTGAAAGTAGACGTCTATGATTGGGGGCAAGGTGTTATCAAATGTCTTATCGTTAATGGTTTTGATGTTGTCGGGCTAGGTTGGAAATATAAACATAACAGTAGCTGCCGGAGCTGTTATATTTAGCCGGTTACGGATTCACGGAAGAAGGGGGAAAGGCTGGACGAAGAGACATATAGCTCGAGCAGCAATTCATGTCAATTGCATTAGTAACAGGCTCTAGTATAACACATTGGAATAGCTCTCACAACATCCCTGTCAGACATAGATAGCCATTACTGCTGTTAGTGAAGAGTCTCTAGAGAATTAGTTCTTGTTCAGACTAGATTCAAACACGTAACCACTGTCATAATGATGCGGTGGTAATGTCTTTACCTATTAAGATTAGGTATACGTGGTGGCTTGAGTTCGATACCGTACATAGACACACGCTATTTCGCGGTGTAAAAGCTGGCCCCCAGGTTAGCGGTAGTACCGGATATGAAACTCGAAACATTCATTAGATCGCGTTGTGTTGTAACTGCACACAACTATGACCGGCCTGTTTTCAACAGGCGCTACTTAGCCTCTTTAGGCGCCGCTGTAGCGGTGGCCATTGCGTGTAACGTGACGCTCGTAACTGCGCTTGTTGCAGTTTTTCCAGTAGAGCAACACTATTCGACTCATAGATGATGCTACTTGAAATAATAAACAGAACCAAAGAATTAAATATATGAAAGAATAAACATACCAAAATTTAACAGGTTCTTTAGATTCAGTACAGGATGTTTTGCATAGGAAGAAGAGAGTGCGCTAGGGCGTTTTATTACTGGTTACCTTTTGTCGGCCTGTACGAGGCTGAATTAGGCACCGTGAGCTTCACGATATCCGCGAACTTAGATGTCCTTTCACAACTCATTATAAATATTTAATAACTTCTTTAAATGATCTTTTATTGTCAGACAGTATTGAACAGTTCCTTGTTTCGATTCACACGTCTTAATCGCTAGCCTGCGATGAGACTAAAAGGCTATAATAATAAAAATAATAACTACAGATACGCTTCTCAGTTTATTAACCTATTTGTTCATGTCGCATATATATTTTTTTTCTTTATTTCTAGCGGCGTAAATGGCGGAAATCGATAAGCCGTAAACTTTTGTAGTTGAAGTTTTTTTCCAAAATACAGTTTCTGCTTTTTGGATGCGTACGCACAGCAACATAAGCCAACCTGGTGCAAAAAGACACCTATGCAAGATTGCTTCTGTGCTATCTGGAATAAAAAAATAAGAAAATCAAAGTTTTACCTCTGAATGATTTTGCCTCGATGGAAATATTGTACGTTAGGTGGGTCATTTATTTTACTGTTCATGTTGTTGCAGGATTCAAACAGCTTGCAACGCGGTACTTACATTGCAAGCTCTTTGAATCCGCTTGCAGCGTAATGTAGTGCGAATAATTCGAACTACACTAGTACAGGCGCGCGTAAAGATATACTCAGCTTTTTACTGTTGAAGGCAGTGATTATCTGCGCGGAACCGGCCTAGATTCGTGTCTCGTAATTGTTAATACTTAAGAATATAATTTTTTCCTGCACTTAATCAAGTGTATAGCTACTGAAATTATTTACGTTAGTTTACCCGCGTTAATGGACTGAATAAATGTGGATGTTTTTTTAAGCTGATCGTTCAGGTAGGAAGGCAGTTCATTATTTTCAAAAAGATATGAAAAATATATCTTGCTCTACCTTTAAAAATAGCGGCCGTTTAATGACACATTCTACATAACGTAAGTCTGAGTTGTTGATTTAACAGGAAATCCAAAAGATTTTGTCCGTTAGATTGAATTAAATTATTAGCGACCTTAAAGCCTAATCTAAGTTTTTACCTTTGTGACCAAATCCGCAATTATGTTTGATGTCATCGTAATCCCTTGAACTAAAGCGAGTATTCCAACTGAGGTACATCAATATTACGCAGACAATTTTTGTTTTTTCGGCATTCGAAATCTGCGAAAACGATCTCACCCTTCACTTTCTGACATTCGGCTTCAAAAGTTGTGTGAATTCGCGACTATGGCTTAAAACACAGCTGTCACGGCACCCATATCGACATCGTACGAAAATCGCGTTAGTCCCTTTAACCCTCGCTCCGGAATTCCAGGAAGAATCGGACGCGCCCTACGTCTTGTTTATGCCACAGTAACTTAACCTATTCTAGTCGGATTTCGAGTTGCTTCAGGGAGCAACAGGCAACTGAGCAATATATCATCAGTGGTGGTCAGCACCTAACGGTTCTGGTGGAACGAACCGATGCCTACAGCCGGAAAGCACTGATCGCTTGCGAATGGATTCTTGATACGATAGTCACTGAACAGTGAATGATTCAATGCTGCGGGCGGACATTAACGGGTCTCGTTGGACGGTGGGCGGAAAGAGTGCCGGGCGGAAAAATACTTGAGAACTACTGGCACGCATGAACAACACCCGCATCGTCAGGGAGGGGTCGTCACGGCGGGACTGGAATACCTACGACGCCAATGTGGTAAAAAGAAAAGGATTAGATGGAAATTGTATGGAAAAATGCGTGATATTGTCTCAACTTCAAAACCGTTTTGTTCAATATTCAAGCGAACGGAATATAATCACCTTTCCAGAATAATTCAATCTAAGGAAATTAGACGTCAAATATTAATTTTATTTATATAGATGTATATCGACTGTACGTGCTATACGGTTATCCTTAGAAAGCTCTATTCATAGCGAGTTCATAGCTGTTTTAATGAAGTTTATACTGTGTCCCTCATCCCTAACGACATGTACTAAGAGATTTTCAAAAAAAATCCTTAATACAGCCGAAAGGCCTCTAGTCACAACATCTTTAGTTATATGTATTGCACAAATGTTACGTTCTACGCTTTGTGGAGACTGTTAAATTATTAATCCAAAACTCCAGCCGCATTTCTGAACTTGTATGTTTTGGATATCTAAGGGAGTTTGGACTTTTTCTTACAAATTTCATAGTTACAGTAAATTTGTCTTAATACAGCAGATATAAAGTGCAGTGATAAATCAGCGGTACCTACAAGGCGAAACTGACGCTACTCTGAATAACGGCAACAGCAGCGTCAATCGTTTCAAATAACCTCTGTAATTATCACTGTTACATAATTTCTAGGATCTAAACACACGACGTAACCGTCGAAATCTTTCGTTGTAAATGCCTGTTGGAATTAAAAAGGGCAACCGAACCGCTCACTGATAATGAAAACATTAAAAGGGCGTTTCTATTTTTGAAAATGCTTTGCGACACTCTAGCTTGAGTAGTATTATTTGCTCCAACGCGTACTAGTGATTCACTCTAGAATTTGAAATTGAAAGTGGCAAGTAAAATCACTGTGATCTGCTCCCTCTATTAATTGAGTGGCAATTCTAGGCACTTGGCTTCTTTTTCGAAGAATCGACGAGTCTCATTAATCAGGGTCCTTTCAGAAAAGGTTTGTAAACAAGCGATGCTTGTCCGAAGAGATAAAATTGCGAACCGGTTACGTTCTGCTCTCATCATATCTACCTTACGTATTTGATAGGCTTTGGCAGTGCGTTATTGTAAGCTTATAGTAACCGGTCGTATTGCCTGTGGCTCGATAATATATGTTGGCTCTTTGTTATCATGCCGACTTCACTATGCAATCTTTGTTAAAAGATTGTGCAATAAAAATCGAAGAGAACCACTCAGCCACGACAAAAAATATACGAAATATTTTGTGCTTGTTGATGTACGTGGCCCTCCATGGATTCTTTAATACCTCTACGTATTAGATTAGAAAATTACTACTTGTATGTTTATATTCAGGAAAATCTCGAGGTTTTCTGTAGTCATAGGGCGCGGCTATCGACGAGTTTCGTCATGGCTCTATTTTAATAGATGATCCAGAAATTGCAACTTTTTTTATTACGCACGATGTTATACTTAATTATAATAGTAATTAGACTTTATTTTCATAAAGACACGTTGCTTGCTTTCAGTTCATTTTTAATGGTTTCTGTTATTAAGCCTTACGCTGTCTTGAGGGGCAGTGGCTTGCCCTTAAATATGCTCTGGTTTTAGGTTTTGTTTATTTTATTTGTGCTGCCATATAACTATATAAGCACAGGCCGTGTGTAGGTAAGAATTGTTGTTGATCACATGCGTTAAGTGTACTAAGACGCTCCTAGAAATATTATTTTACCGGCTACACCTTCATAGTTGCCCTATAATAAACTGCAAGTTCTTTCTAAACCAGCCTGTACATCTTTGGGTGAATTTCCATACTGATTACAATAAGGAACTAACCGCTGCACTAGTTACCCCGAAAATGACTCCAGGTCACTCCACATGACAAATAGCATTATCAAATAAGTTAACAAAGGGAATAAAAACAAGCCCGACATAATGTTCGCTATCTGTGATAAGTAATAAAGTAGTTTTCGCTTATTGTCGTACTTCCTCGATGAAAGTGAATACAGTTATTCACAAGTAGCCAGCTTAGACTTACGCCTTTGGGCAACCAGGGAAATGGCCATATGTACTCATCATTCTTCTTTTTACAGGAGTTACAGTTAGTATGTGACACTGAACGAAGGTGTGGTCGCAAGACTTCTGCCGCGTGGTTGACGTGCGCCAGCGTTAAAAGATGTTATCGGCCGAAAATGGATGCTCTCGAGCGTGAACAGGAGGAACCCAAGGCAGCACGACTGGTTTCGCTATTTATACTACGGCTTGCTGTCCGTAGATTGGTTTGCACCTATTTAGCAACAACAGGCGCGCCGTTGCTGCTGCTGGCTACTTGCTTAGATGATTCATTTATTACCACAGCCTCTACTCAATTACCGAAGATGTTGCTTATTCGTCAGTCACGCTGCCCATGGGCTGATACTGATAGATGCCGACTCACGCACACACGACCATCTATCCACCTAGTACTCCAACAACATTCACCCAATCACGTGATGAAGGATTAACGCCACTAGGAAGACTGCGTGTATTCGACATTAATTGGACTCGTCGACAGAGACATTAATTCTGATACGCTGACATCGTGTCACCGGCTCTTGGAGCTTATAAGAGTGAAAGTGACGTTGGCTTAAATTTCCAGGGATCATCAGTAGAAAATAAGTCCCCATGGAAAACAAACGCACAAGCAAGCAATGCATCAACAAGACTGCTTGGCGAAGCTAGCTACTTCTAACAATGTTACTACCGCAAAAATTATGCAAAACAGGATGTTTTTCGACGATGACTTATGCGAACGATCTATATAGGTTAGGGATCGTCAAAAAGCGAAGAAACGACGACGGAATATATCAAAGAACAGATCACTCTTATCCACAATGAGTCTATGCAACACTGGAGATTAACACTGGTAAATTTGCTTAACGTTGAAAGCGCCAATTATGTAGATGCCGTCGATTGTTATGTTGGTTACATTTTCAGTTACAAGAGAAGAGGGATTAGCTTACCCAAGTTTATTATGTGATTACGTTAGATGGCTGTCCAAAATGCTGGAACTATGGAAATAATATGAGATATATGAGAGAGAAAGGCTGAATAAATTAAATAAGCTACAAGACGGGACAACGATTTGCTCTCCGAAAGAATAATGAAAAATATATACATATAGCCAGGGCAGTTTTCGCGAAACTCAGACATCAGTATTTTTGGAATATTGCCACATAACTCAATCCGAGAGAATATCTTATAACAAAGGTTAAATAATTTATAAAACAATTACAACGATTTATATATGCTTCTGCCTTTACTGTGCGCGAACGCTTAGAACGTCTGAACTTTAATCAATAAACAATAGTCTTGTGCGGTTGTATTTCAAATTTTCAGTTGCAAGCGACGTATATACCTCGTTTTAGAGGAATGCCTACAGCAAAAATTTCAGTTCAAGCAACACAAGTTATCCTTTGAGACGCTCACTGATGACACAAGATGTCGCTATCTAGTTTAAGACCGAAGCATATATCCAGGCAAATAAAAAAAAAAATGACTTCTGCAAAGAAGAAGATGATACTAGGACGGTTTGCTTTAATATTTTCATTTAAACCATCACCTACTCTAACCTGCTACAGTAAATCACAAAGGCATAGCTGTCCGCAAGTCAATCACTTTATGAACCCACTTCGTGTTTTTTATAACACATCCTTTTTTTTTTCGTTATTTTAATTTGCTTTATATTTGAGACTTTTTATGACGTACCTATTTGAAAAAGTTAGTTAGTGATTCGTCGATAAGTAGCATTACTTTTATAGCAACATCTATTTTTAGATGTACAGAACGAAAGGGTTATTTCCTTGCGTGCCTCTGTGGCAATTTCGGCTAATAATTATATTATTGAACACCATACACGCATCTTAAATAGGTATAGATAACATAATAAATATAGATAACATAGTTATATAACCTAAATAGATAACATAATATCATCGAAAAGTTACTAAACTGTCCATAGTTTAAAGCGATAAAGCTGAGTACAATTTTTGGACGTCAAAAGTTTGATACACAAAATCTAATGTTGCTCATAGTGGTAATCATTAATTTCTACTGCTTTTTTTTAACTTAAAGTAATGAAGACTATATGAAATTCTTCTATTGCAAAATAATATATAGAACCCTGTCGAATATTGAGAACTGAGTAGATACTGTTAGTACTGCTAATAAATTTAATTAAATAAATAAGTTAATTAAAATGCCATTGCACCTCATACGAGCATGTACGAACGGAACAAGCTCAAGATAAAAAAAAAACTATCTAAGCGTAAAAATATTCGACAAACTCGTTTATTTTTCTTTCATTTAATCTGCAAACGACCCCACATCGACCGGCCATAAATCTACGTCAGTATTTTTTGTACAAAGTACTTTGTAAACACAATGCAGCATACAATTGCATTTAATCCACAAAACCGGATCCATAAGATATTTTTTAGAAATGTGCTAGCGTTAGTTAACCAACTCAAATTTATAGCCTCATTGATAGCTTCGTCTAATTGTCTTTTGTATATGACACACTGTGTTTAAAATAGAGGAATCACATAGGTCTGAATTCGCTCCAATTTCGCGTTTGTTTATATGTAGGTTTCTGTACAAATGTATACAATATTTACTTAGCTGTTACTGCCAACAAGCAAGTGATCATCTATCTACATATGCTTCCAATATTGTCCCTGTCAATCTTTTCGGTAACGTGATCATATTGACAGTCGTGCCTTATCTGATTCTTAAATTGTTATCCTTTGTACCTACAGCATTCTTTCTCTTAAAAATAGCTGGCGATGGTCTGCGATCACGTACTTTAACGATTTTCAAATGTTTCCACAAATTACACAACGACGAGACTATTCGTCGGATGCTATCTTCTTTGGCACCTGAAGGGCATGTGAAATATACCTTGTAAGGTCAAGAAGATTCTCTCCGGTATTTGCTAGCAAACGTCCTCTGTCTGTGATTTTCAGCTTATTTTGCACCTTTAGCCGCTTGATAAGCCTTACCTGAAAATTGAGTCTATCCAGATTTTTGAGGATTGACTGCTCAACCCTTGCGACGCCTTCCACTAAGTGGTTGTCTCTAGCAACGTCGACTAATGCATTATCAACAAAGTGATTTCGAATTTCCAATGCCA